CGTTCAAAATGACTCAAGTTTAATATACAGATCATTGGATTTAATTTCAACAGTATGAGGAATCGATTACAAACAGACTAGAAAGTTTTTTTTCTCAAAGTCGTATAATGTTTTTGGTTTACAGTTCTCAGTAATTTCGAACAAGGACAAAATATTTGTCCAATGATTTCCGTTTTTCAGTAGTTCGCTGTTTGTTATTTACTCACGAGGAAGTATTGTTACTATCCTCTCTTAAAATGAAAGAAACACTGAAATAAGCCACACATAAATTTTTCAGTGCTCCGAATATTTTTCATTTGCATAAACTTCAATGTTATTCATGAACAGTTACCATTTTTTACTTTTAACTCAATTATTCTGTTGTATCTTTTTAAAAAAAAACTGAGAACAGTGTTTCAGCATATCTGAAACAGACAAAAAGAGCAGTTTCTACTTTGTTACGCCGAGCGAATTTTCATTGATCACTTTGTACTCCTCATTTATATTCTTCAATATTGATTTATTAACTGATGGACAAATATCTCATGGTCAAATTATTTGGATTGAACACGTACGTACAAATAATTATTAATAAAAGAATTTTGAAGATTGGTGAATTTTCAATTTATATTATGAACAGTCGTTAAAAACCAGAGAACACCAGGGAGTTATTTCAATAAAGTACAGGATTCCTCGGGAGAGGACATCTAAGATCCCATAAAGGGTTGAGTACAGAACCTTCAAACCTCGTAGCGTGGAAAACCTGGAGGTAATGAGTTCGACTATCAGTTGAGTTGTTTAATTTTGAGTTGAATAATAGGATGAAATAGTTGTTTATTCCTTCCTGATTATCAGTAGTTATATATCTAATAGGTACATTAAAAAATACGTAATTGTTTGAATTACTAAACAAACACAAATATTTAGTTAATTAGTCAGTAGTTCTAAGTTTTCTGATTTATTCGTTTGAAATTTAGAGATAGGTTCTTTGAATATGCTTTTAATTTAACTAACTGAGTACTATCAATCATATCAACAATCAATTCGGTTTATTTCAACATTTCTGATCTAAACATATTACAGTGGTACTGTAATACTGGTATGTGAACATCGCGGGACGAATATGGATCATTTTAAGAATATAGACTCAATAAACTGACAAGTCTGAACCCTGGATTTATAACATTCTGCTTATACTACAATTAAATGAAATTTAGAGCTACATTCATAACGTAAGTCTCTAAAATTATTCAAATAACAATAAATGAGAAATCAAGTAGTACAAACGGATTCAAAGGAAATGATAAAACTATTTGAAATTAAATGTATAAAGGACAATATACACGAGAAATCTTGAAATTCAGTAGTTTATTGGTTTAAAGATTTTGGTTTTTAATTTGACATGATTTTCCACAGAAATAACAATAATCAATGTTAAACGATTTATCAAACAACACTCAAAATAAATAATCGTAAAGTTTAATTTCTACAAAATGAATAATTGACAGAAACAATAACAGGACGGTAACTTTCCCCCCCCCCAAAAAGAAGAAAGAATGTAATAAAATAAACATGGGCGGCAACATTTTAATTTTGAAAACTACACAAGTACTACAAAGCTAAATCCTAAGAAAAAATTGTTATAAGTATTTAAATGTTTGTCAATAGGGATATAAGGGAAAACAATTATTAGTTAACCGAACAGAATTAGGTAAATAAAATAATTTGTTTACAAATAAGAGGGTAGTTAAACCATAATATTATTATCAGTAAAGGGTTGTGGAGATTGTCAAGCTTTGATTGAGATCATAAATGGATCAATGTTAGACCGCCATTGAAAGCCTGAAAGCACTGGATGGCCATTCCATCCTTGTATGGGACTGCTCAGGGGCAGTGAGCATCCACGATCCCACACATGGGATCCGAACCCAGGACCTTCGGTCTTTTCTAGATTTACAACTTCTCTATATCCAATATGGATAGCCAAAATTTAGCTTGGCATAGGCGAACCTTCTTAAGAAATATTAGAAGTAAATATGCAACCAGAAAGCAACTAAGATTCATGTTATGTGTTATGCATCAAATGTCCAATACCAGAAACAGATCGTATATTTATCTGAATAAATTTCGTGTAATTTGATGTATAAATACAAATATTTTTCCACGTTAATTTAGGGAGTCTAAACAAGATTGATAACAGAAAAAAATATTGTTTTTTTTTTAAACCAAACTACTAAATATAAAAATTACTTAAGATATTTAATATTCATGGGAATAAGTATGAATTCATGCCAAATAGTATTAGACTACTTTTTTGTTATCTTGATCTAGAATGTTTATTATATTTAGTTGTGGAAATTGTTTAACTAGTTGGTGATTATTGTTTAAGCCATGAGAAGTAAGAGAAAAAATTGCGATATACATATAGAATATTGTTCTTTCGATGCATTTGAAATATGACACCGACGATAATTTATACAGGTTTTTTATTATGATGAATTCAGATCAATGAAATTGGTCGTTTATAACTACTTCAACAATAACTAGAGTTTCTTTTCAAGTCTTTGAATATTCTAATGATCGGTTAAAAAGTCATTCGTGAAACTGGTTAGAAAGCATCTGTAATCAGATATGAATTTATTTAAAAATTAATGATGGCAGAACAGATTGCTCAACAATTTCCATGGACAAGATTGATCACGAAATCTAGTTCATTTTAAAATTGACTATGTCTATATGAAAACAGAAAATAAGGAAACATTTCAAATTTACTGATTAACAAAATATAGTAGCATTCTAGGTAGTCCACAAGTGAGCTAAGCTGTTATTAAAAGCAGACTACTTACAGATTGTGACGAAGAAACCTAGTGTCACACACCAATAATATTGTAATAATATTGTATCGGTTGGGTTCTTAATATTCAAAATGGAATTCCAAGGTCTAAACACCACGTCGTCTGTAGTTGTCATAATAGAGTGTCTTCATAAAGCACAATATACTTTGGATAAGCTTTTGCACCCTGAAGATTAGTTAGCAACACACACATAAACATGAAATATGACAGAAGAATCACATATCATAATAGCAATTCGAGTTGGGATTGTTATTATTTCAAGCTATTATCAAAACTGGATTTTGAATTGTCTTGAAAATATATTATTATCAAAATGTAAACAACAGAAATCCTTGACTGTAATAAGACAAACGATTATATGTAGATGACCACAGTTGTACCACTAAGTAACTAGATGTTATAAATATTTTATATATGACTTTTTTATATCACCAAACAAATTGATTAGGTGTCTTTGAAATCATACGTTTTGAAAAGGCTATTTTTCCCTGTTTCATGAATGCAGAAATTAATATAAGACATTAATTGAAAATCACTGTTATCAATCTGTGTCCACGAAAGCGATCGATGGACTTGACAAATAATACTCAAAAGAATAACCCAAACGATGAAGATATTGCTAAATAAGAAATATCTACTTATTTGAACACATAAATATTGGTACGAAGGGACACCAAATACTTGTGTGCCGCACAATAGCAATGAGGGGCTGTGAAGAAATAGAGAATGTAAAGTGAGCACAAGAAAAGGGAGAACTAAAACGAACAGAAATTAGTGTATAAGAGTGAAATAATAATAATAGTAATAATAATACTAATGGGAAAAACAGTTCAGTTATAAAAATACAACCAGAAAGAATTCTTTCAGTTCAAGAAGCTTACGTTCACATTTATGAAGAAAGTTACTGAAGAATGGTCAATCGCTTCTACTCTGAGCCATGTCTGATAACGTCTCAAATCACTCTGTTGCACCGTCTCCAGGACCTCAACCAGGGAGTCATGAAGGACCACGTGAAGCCAGTCCTGTACAGATTTCTTTCATACCACGACACCATGTCGTATACTCACCACTTTTCCGCTTTTTCTAACCGGCCCAAGAATCGGAAAGTAACGCACGACGTAAGATTCTCTTGGACGACATTCGTAGAACATGTCTAAGCCACCGAAGTCGATGTTTCAAGAGATGGTTACTTAATAAGAAAGGTGACATGTTAACACTCTATACTAGTATTTCAAATTAATGAATAACACCATTGCAATTTATATGATTGGTGGCTCTTCATGCTTCTAGTTTGAGGCGAAATAGTTTTAAATCATTATTTTGTAGTGTAAATCCGAGTTTTTTTAAAAATCTACTTCCACTATTACGAATAATTCGTATGCATTAAAGCTACCTATTTGAAGTTAGTTTTTTTGATAAATTGATACTAATCAACATAAAAATCAATAATAAAATGTTAACAAGGAAACAAAAATGTGAAACCTTATTATCACTAAGTATAAAATGTTTATATCTTGTATTTGTGCACTGATATTAATCAGAAATCATTTCATAATGAATCATAAGACCTACCTATTAAGTGAAGTCATTTTGAACTCCGTACAATCATATTTGGGATATGTACTATTTTTTTAACCTTCAAAAATGATTTTGAATAATTTTAACCATAACTTGTCATTAGCTCATAATTAATGGCTAGAAACGTCGGGTGATGTGACTTAGAATAGCTCGAAATAGCACAAATACATTCAGTCATTATCTTTCCTGAGATCTTAAGTTATAAAATCACCTTATACTGTCTTGTTCTATGAATTTCTTCATTCTACTCGAATCATAATGTCTATTCCAAGTGCGTTTTTTACCATCAATATTGTTACTGTTTTAATTATTCTCACATTTATCTTGAAACCTTCATACCGCTATGCTGATGTAATTTGACAAGTGGGACTGATATATATATATGCATTCAATTCTACATTAGTTATGGCTGATTGTCATTAGCTAAAGAACTGTTAATAAACAAGGAGTAATGAGAAATAGTTTCTTTTTAATTTAGTGAACTCTTTAACGGTGTACACTTTAGATTTCAGGTATCTTGACGACAAGAAAAATATTTCCCGACCATATAGTTAAAATTCAATGGTTAACATTTTAAGAGTATTTTAACTCATAACTTAAAAAAACGACGATCATTAAATATATCTGTCTTAATCTTCATATGATTAAACGACACCAGTAATGACTTCTCATAAAAAAAAAACTAACGAAATCCATTAACAAACTAATGACTAGTGAACATACATGATTATCTGTTCGGTTGAATGGTTGTTGTTGTGTTTCTTTCATCTTTACTGTACTTTTGACATAAAATCAACGTACACATATAAAGAGAATAAAGACAATTCTAATGAAAAGTATTGTGTTGTAACATATTAACAAACTTTATTTATTTATTATTAATAGTAGTTTCAACAATGAGTTTCAAATATTGTAGAAAAAGTAAATAGACGAATCATCATATATCTTAGCATAGAAATAAACATTATGATGGCAAAACAAAAAGTAGTTTCTGATCGATAAATTTGACGTTTCATCTGACTTTGTTTTTAACAGATTATTTTAGATCCTGTCATATTATCAATTACTCTGTTAGATAATTGAAGAAAAATGATTAGCTGCACAAGTACTGATCAATTTAGGATGGGAATTAGACAAGTTAAATAGAAGAAGGATTTAGGAATGAGCAAGACATATTTATGAAGACCATAAATTTTTCAATTAGGGAAATATATGAAATCTGAGATATACAAAAAGAAAATTAATATATAATCTTATAACGAGAGAGTATGTCGCTGTGATGCTCGACCAAATAAGGATGTCATCCATTGAGGTCTTTTTGGTAAAGTGTTATGTTTAGTTTGAGGTTTAGGAAAAATATCATTATTGTATGTGTTATTTGATAAATTACTTGAAAGATTGAGAAATAATTGTCGCCTAACTTGAGGAATTGATGAACGAATACTGAGTTCTTTAATCCAGCTAAATAGAAAAAAAATTAGATATTGATAAGCTTAGATAGATAAGAAAAATCTTATGTTACACTAATTAAAAAAGAAGCTAAAGTTACCCTAAATGACGAAGTGAAATTACGTGCCATATAAATGAAAATTTTCGGTACAGTTAACATGTCGATTTCGTCAAATCCATAAGATACATTCAAATTGGACTACTATTTTGATATTTCATGAATCAAAATAGATTTACATCAAATTTAGTAGAAAATGGTAAAGAATTTATATCTGTCCATGAACACATAAACCACAGCCTCAGAATCTTTAATTTCTAACAAGCCAGTAAACTACAATCCCCAGTAATAAAAAATATACACTTAAAAAAATTGACTGACTCCTCGAATCAAGTTTGTTAGGTTAAACTATAATATACAGACGACTATGGGTGACTTATCAGGAAATCAGGAAACGCTACCTAGTTATAAAATAGTTAACAATAGAGGGTAATAACAGTGGAATAACAGATTTAATCGTGATAATTAACCATCACAAGTCAAACTATACCTCGTAGTAACGAAAAAAGACAAATTCACATTATATATATATATATATATATATATATATATATATATATATATATATTAGGAGTGAAATTAATATTGTAAGTTGAGGTTTTCATAACCAACTAGAAATCATTTATAATGCGAAAAAGTCAGGGTTAGGTAATAATAGTTTAATTGGAGTTTTGAGTTACGTTTAGAAAATGGGGTCAGGGTTTTCAACACGAACTGAAATGAACTATAATCTATTGCTTTATCACCATACTGTGTACAACCTTGAGAAACTTAGGGTTGGGTTTGAGAGTAAGATTATGAAAAGGTGAATATTTGAACTACATCACGTACATTAACATGATGTTTCTTAAGAGTATGTATGTATGTATGTAATTTAGCTTAAGCCCCATCTAAAATTAAGATTTTGGTTGTACAATAGATATTTTCATTGATTTCAAATATTTTACGAACCAAATACTGTTAATTTGGTGAATAACGATATACATGTTATGTATCACTTCACGTTAAACTTCGCGTAAAATACATGAAGTGTTATCCTGTAATGACCGAGAACACCAGTGGGCACAACCAGATGTATAAATACAAAAATACAGAATCTCTCAGAAAAATCTTAGGACGATACAGAAAAAAACTTCATTTGAAAAATAACAATCAATCGTCGCAGACTTTGTTGTTCCTTCGTCTCTACATCAATCACTCTCTGTTCTCGCTCTCTTCTCTTCAAACTTATTAACCTTCTGTCGCCAGGCATTTTATTTTCGATTGGTGATACATACTACTCATATCTGTCGATATCGGTAGCACATACCACAATTTCAATTCCGATTGGTCGACTGAAGTGTTTCAATATATTATACATTTACAGCTTGTTAACTAAAAACATAAAGTGAGACTTAGAATTTTCAGTAACCTTTCATTAGTAATTTCAAGATAATAATGTCGTAAAACTCTTTATTTTATAGTATAGGAGGAAGTTATGAAAATTATTGAATTTGATAATTTTCCATCAATCCGTTCATGCAAAGCTAAAAGTCCTTGCATATCATTTAATACAATCAATTTACTACTGATTGATCAATTATTACTATGATTATTGAAATAGAAATATGCACAAGTGAATTAAGAAAATTTTTTGAATTACCTCAATACTTTATAAATGACCGACATTTTGAAGTGTACTTTGATTTAATTGTTGTTTAAAAGTGGTGATTGTTAAAATGTGTATAGTCTATCTTTATTACACATATTTACTATTCAATAATAATCAAATGTTTGCCCTGTCCAACAATGACAGTTAACTATTTTAAAAACGGTATTATAGCTTTCCAGTTTGTATTGTAAATATAATAAACGACTCAAAAAACGGGTTTGTTTATTTATTGAATGCTTTTACTCTGCCTTTTGTAGAATAGGCAGTGAGATATAAAAACTGGGACATGTTTTAACTTCCATTAAGAAGTGTGCTGATTAAGATCAAAACATGCAAGAAAAGGACAATGAATTGAATCTGCATTTTGTTCGCCAGCCATTGGAATAAGGTACTAAGTAAGGATGGTAAATCGATAGGTGAGATAGTAAATCTTTACCAACTAAGATGGTTAAAACATGTGCTACGTGTGTATGTGTATGTAAAATGTGTTAACGTCTACCTTGACGGATAATGCTGTCCGGTGAGGGGTAGGCTGGAAGAAAGCTAGGGGTGGGCAAACGAAAACAAGGCATCAGTTCATGAAGTCACTGACAACTGAACTGAGCTGTGTTAACAGGTGTAGATTACTTGGTTGGGGTTTGAATGATTATCGTAATCAGTGGTTAAAAACTTTGAATGAAACGGCCCGAAATAGTTTGCGTTGACGCAGATGCATCCATTTTCTGTCTTCCTCTAAATTTTGACCTTCTAAACTCCTCATAAATATTTTTGTGTTTTTATTTTAGTAATTTATATTTGCTTCTTGGATCGTATTTTTGATGCCTAATCTTTTCAGTCACTAATCATACTATTACTATTTCTACTGTTCTGTGATTTGGCCTGACCGACTGCTAATGGGGTATGGCAACTTGAACCAGTTTACATATATATACCATCTTCTACGTTTCGGTTGACCGACTGACCAGTGATTGAATAACGCCAAATATGGAATTCTCATAACATTACCTTGCAGACACAACATTAGTGTGGATAAATAAAAATGTAAACTAGTGAAACAGATAACAGAGGGGACCAAACATTCTAAGTCATTGAGAAACATGTATACATTTCTTCTCGATTCCTCCGGGAGTTCCAAATTACTGGGGTGCTTTTAGATTATTTCATTAAAAAAAACTACTCACTTAGGAATCTTTATCACTAACAAAAAAAGTTCTCAATGACTCATCTAACTATTTTTCGACATCATTTGAAAAATATTTATATTGACAAGTAGATTTGGAGATCGATAATGTTACTTTACTGAAATCCAATTAATTTGAACACACTTTTTTCCGACTTCCAAACCGAATACAAAAGTTAAATGAACAGTAAACAGTTTCACTTGGACCCGATGCTTTTTATGCAGCATCTTACTTAGACATGTCATAAATGTGCGGTCTTATTACACTAATCAGGTGACATCTCTTGTAAACTGAACTTGAGCTTGGTAACTGAAAGTAATTGTTAAAGGAGTGAAGTTTACTTAGGCATTTACAGTCTAGCGTCAGTCATGTTACAGATATACCGGTTACACTGTAAACATTTATTTCTATTTTCAACTAACTTCAATGATCATCCACGAAAAGCGTATGTAAAAATTGTTAAATCTTATTATCAGTTTTCATTCGTTGATGTTTCTACACAGATTTCAACAGTTACAACCATCAAATCTTATATTGTATAATTTTATGATAAAACGAATATTATAAAAGCTAGAACTGGTTTTCCAAATTATTATTTATTTTTTTGTATAATTATCAAGTAACTAGATTATGAATGTACACTCCATTAATCATAAGCTTTTAGTTGGCCCACTAATTACTGTTTTACGGTTTACTAGTCCTGACTTCTTACCGGTCTATTATTTAAAATCTTTGCTACTCACAGAAAATTTGGGCTTGTTTGTGTATAATTGTTATTTTATATTTTATAGTGTGATGCGGTACGGAAACATCATAAGATATAGTAACAGCTGGTTGCTGACTTTTAGACTCAAGGCAGGACATAGAAAAAAGCTAGCAGACACTAGACCAATAGGGTCTTAGCTGTGCGGCAAAGGTCAGTAGTACTAATCTGGAGTACAGTTTGTCAATTTGCGGACACTAGACTTTCAAGAAAATAGTAGATGCGAAGTAGACCATATTAGAATTCTGATCGTAGTCTGAGTCAGCCATCACAAGGTATAATACATACTTAACGTTTCTGTCAAGTGACCCAAATGTAAAAGTCAATATGTAGAGGTGAACTATTGGTCAAAGTACTCAAACCCTAAAATTTGAGCTGCAAGTTCGAATCCTTCCACTGACAAAATGTGTGACTTAAAGCTAACTAAACAAAATTCTGTTCAGCGAATTTCATATGTAACTAGCAAGGGAGTCCAGGATGCGCGTTTTGACAAATTTTATTGTTGATATTATCACTGACGTTCGAATTCAGTGTCCCTTGCTAAAAATACTAGCATGTTATCCATTGAGGATACTGACTCTAGATAGCCATTACCTTGTTCAGTAGCTATGATGGTATTAATAATGGCTAGTAACTTTCCATTATTGATATTACGAACCATAAAACCATACTGTTTCTAATTCTTATCAATTATTTAATTTTCAGAATGAAAAATTGTGGAGACTGTAGTGATTTTAATCTTTAAATTCATGAGTCGATCTAAACTAGGTCACCATTGAAAACCTGGAAGCATTGGACAGCCGTTTCGTCCTAGTTCTAGGTTTTCTATGGTGGTCTAGCTTAGATCAACTGAGGAATTCAACTATTAAGATTATTTAATTGAAAGTCAATATACAAAACAAGATTGAAAATAACTTACGACTTGATATCATCTAAAGCAATTAATTTACCACCTTGTTCTAGGTGCAACTCATCTCTTTCGACTAATGACAACATGAGAGAATTGTTTAGACCTGAAATAATAGAATAGTAGGATCAGGAATATTTTATCAATAATACAAGACAATAATACAAAATAAAATAAAGGATTCATTCACAACAATTTAATTTGAACCTCTTGAGATCGATTTGAGGTATTTACCTCGTGGTCATTTTTATTACTAAGATACACAAAACATTGATGGCAAACTTTTTGCTGGCAACAATTCAATTTTTTTCAACCTGACTCGAATCTCTCATACTGTTTTACAAACTGATTTACTAAATTCTAAGATGGAATTCATCAGATGTATCACAGTGCTACTGAAATAATTACTGCTTAAATTTAGCTACTAAATCAAACAAAATCTACTGCTAATTATAAATTATTCATACACCCTGATAGAATCAGCTTTATTCTCTGAAATTCGTTCGCTAGTCATGGAAACGGCTCCCAGTGATTTCAAGGAAGCTCTAAGAAGCTCTGGAAGAACTGAGGACATTCTATCCAGTCATCGTTTGGAAGGATATTTCAGAATCTCGGCCCGTAGTTTCCCGATTGGACAAATGCTAAAAACCACTGCATATGGACTGGACGATTGTAATGATGATTTTGTTTTTACTAAAAATATAAATACCCCAGTGGTTTGTACGGTATTTGACTCTGGTTGGAAAAAGATTCCTTTTCACTTGTCTTTTGTCTTCTAACTTGAGACTTGGAGGGTTCAAGCGTTCGAGTGCTCAAGTTGTGGGCAGTATAGCGAAAATTCAAGTTCTAGATATAACACCAATATACAATGCATACAAAAATACTAATTAATCAGTTAACAAATTAATTAATTTGAAATTTACTAATCAGTAATTAATAAAGACAGACCAGTTTTATCTGACCATAAAATGTTATGGATCATTACAAACTTATAAAATCTGATATTAATTTTCCTAGATATTTTCCAATATCGACTTAATGCACCAACAATGTCATTAAGAATGTTTATTCGATGTGAAGATAGTTCTTGATAATAATTTTTTTTAAAAATTTAGACTACTGAATTCCAGTCTGTTATACAATATTCAAAACGAGAATAAATACAATCAAAACTATTGTTCTCACTTTCGATTCTAGAATGCAAATCATTCATAATAACTTTCAATTGAGAAATAGAGAATTGAATTAATTCTTCTTTGGATATTTGAAACTTCCTATAGTCAACTCGAAGCTGATAGATTGAAGGAAATAAATAGGGGAAAGTATTATCAATTTACTTTGGAGTAATGGAATATATGACATCAACTTGCATGGAAAATTATAAATTAACTGTAAATAAAACATGGATAAAAATATCCTTTTTAGTAATGTATATTTTCTAGTGAACAGAAATTTAGTTGGATCCAGCAGTCAATAAACAAATATAGATGTGAAGTCTTCAGGATGTGTTAAATATTTAGTAAGTCATATGCAAATAAGGACTAGAAAATTCGGCAGGACTATAATTTATAGACGAATCAATTAGATTCAAGATAGTGACTTCTGGATTTGGGTTAAATGATATTTTGACATTCTTACTGTCAGTTTGTGATGAAAATTAAAACTTAAATTCCAAACTCTAACTTCTAACTCTAACTCTTAGTTCTAATTCCTTACACTAATTTATAATACTATTTTCACCCTAGTAGGTGGTCCACGTTTCTCAAGGCCACTTTACCATGACTCAAAGGTTTTCCATAAATTAAAGACGTACCAAAGATCCATTTAATTAAAATGCTCAAAAACACTGATATTTACTTAACTGAACAAAAGGTTATGTAATACATTTTATAGTAGAATTGTAAAAGATACTACATATTCTTTGAGTGAAATGTAGAGATGTTAAACTTAATTACTTACATGATGAAGAATAATTTTAATCGGGGTCAATAAGAAACATTTAAAACACGTAATGGTCTAAGACTCTTTACTTTACTGTGAATATTTACTAGAACCATAATATAAATATTAGTACAAAAAATAATGATCAATTCGATGGAACCAAAATATGTAGTTTAATGATCAATGAATTTAGAGAAATCTTCTGATTTACGAATGTATTTAAGATGAGCATAACATAAACTGATGAAATTCACTGAGTAGAGCTAAGTAAGGTTTAATTGATTACAAGCTAGAATGGAGTGATCGTGAGAATATAAGATTAACAATCAGAAGCTCAAGGTTTAGAGTTCGATAGAGAATCCTGGTTGGGGGCCTATGCTCTTCAACGAGGAGCAACAGGCGTAAGTAAGTAAGTAATCAAATAAACAAAGCATGGAAAATAAAAAAACGTTGAAATTTTTTAAAGCAAACCCATTATTCTATCAATTACAAGACTTACTAAACGATTTTCAATTACCCTGCTAGTTATTAATATGACTAGTGGTTAGGCTTCATCAATTTTTAATGGTTTTTTTGTATGTAACACTATTACTGATAAAGTTAATTAATTAATTTAACAATTTCCACCAATATTTAATCTACATTTCTCACATACACTTATGAATCTACATTATCTCAATGAACACAATGAACATGTATGAACTATATACATCCTTGTTAACGCCTATTGCGTAAAAATAAGGTAACTAAAATTCATTCCTTAACTTTTGTTCTACATTCTTTAACATTACTGTCTTTTTAAAATGTAACCAATTCACTGTGTCAACTAACAATAGATTATACTACTTTTAAAAGAAGATTTTAATAGAATAAAGTACATGGAAAGATTTTTTTTTTCATCTTTTCGGTTTGCTTAAATTCATATTTTAAGAAATGTAATTGGAAACTAGTAGGAATGTTAGAATCACATAGGTTTTTTTATAGTCAGTATAATGTTGAGCATTGTTCAGTATAAAGATGGTTAACATCACAAAACTATTAAGAATATTTGTTTGATGTTATAATTCATGATGGATATGTAGTGGATGAAGTATTCTCAATGTATGATAGTAAAATTCATCACACAGTATTGTTATATCCCGATGACAATAAGGAATAGTAACTGTTAGGATTTATTTCTAGACTAATACTAAACGTATATTTTTATTGCATAATTTTTAAGTAACTAAACAATTCATATTCGTGTTCCTCTTATTATAAGGCATTTTTTTGACCTTTGAACTATTATTATACGATTTATGATTCTTGAGTTAAGCGCAGTCTATCAATTACTATCTCCCACATTCACAGCCTTTTTTTGGCTAAATCTTGTACAAATGATATTTTTTTATTTTATAGTACGATATGGTCTGTTTGGTTTGTATATAAACCCAGTATGTTTGAAACACAGATTCATATCCCAGAGGCTGAGATCGGTGTTCTGGACTCAACAGGCAAGGCTAGGCAGGAAGCATGACCGATAAAGACTCCAGACTGCTTGTACCGGTTTAATGCGTCATTGATCCAGTCGATAATTCATTGTTCTTTAATTGGCGATATCATTAAGTTATACATTAATGGGGCACAAACCCACAAGTTACCACAAATATGAATATAAATTCAAATACAAACTACTTATGTTACAGTTGCTCTTTATAGTATCAAATTATATATATATATATATATATATATATATATATATATATATAATTTGATACTATAAAGAGCAGTGTTATTGTAATTTAACCTTTAATTATTATGTTACCAAAAAATCCCAAAAATTCATAAGGTTTATTAGATTGATGGATTGTTTATAGCAGTGGAATGCAGGACATGTGTTTTATCTTGTTGAGACTTGCCAGTCATATGTACCTGCATAACAACATTGATGTTTATACAGGGACTTGGAAATAATAGTCTTTTGCTTCAATAAACAATACAAATGGTGGCACCAAGGGATTACGCATAGGATATACATTAACCAGTAGAGAATGATCAGAATTTATTCTTTAATATCAGAAATAGGAAAACTTTAATCATACAAAAAATCCATGATTTTAAGTTTCTCAAAAATTGATTGTTTATGCAGTGTTCACTTAATGAACCCTCAAAAGAACAATTTCAATATTTATTTTGAGCAGATATTTGAATGATGATGATTATATTACAATAATAACATAGGCAATATAAATATTACAAAGTATTGAGTGAAATAATAAGTCTAAAACATGACGTATTCTTTTCGTAGAGAAAAAATTACCACACACAAGAAATACTTCCTAGTAATCAGTCCCACCCGATTATCGATTAATTAGGCGTGGATTAAATAAATCCCGATGAAGATTTTATACAAGAATCAATATGTACTAAACAGAAATCTGGAAACAATCATTAATCTTATATCGTTACAAAAAATATTCTATAAATAAAACTGATAAACATTGTCAGAAAAGTAGACAAAGAAATAAAGTTGTGGATTAGTTGAAGTTAGACATTAACACCGTTAGACGCCGACTCAGTGGTCTAGAGGTTAAGCGCTCAATCGCGAGACTATAGGTCCTAGATTTCGAGTCTCGCATGAACACTGTTGAGGAGTCCCATACTAGGATGAAACTAATATCCAGTATTTCCAGGTTTTCAATGGTGGTCTAACGTCGATCGGTTCATGATCTCAATTGAAATAAAATTAGTTTAGTAGTATTTTTAAGAGGCAAACCAGATACAAAAGAAGAGATTTTGGAATTCATTTATCTAGTAAATAATCAAAATATTCAAATTACTCAGTAAAAACAGAAACATTAGTCTAAAATTCTGTAAAATTAACTTATCTATTCAGAAAATCTTTTCTTCCCAAGTCAATTATACTTAACTATAACAAAAAACAATTGTATAAATATTCGTAACAGAAAAATGATTATTATTGTTTAAGTAGACGACATGTAACTCTTGAACACGCTTTCTTACTTCTTTCCACTTTCGACAGTGTAAATAAAGATGCATAAATAAATCACAAGTTTATAAAAGTAATATGCATTCACACTAAAAATACTTTTATCTAAATAATAGTTTAACAGTCATTTTCTATCTAATATTCGATTTTTTAAAATATCATTATACCCTAATGGTTAATCATTCGATATGTATTTCAATGTATTACGCAACAGTTATAAGATATATGAAATTAAACAAATATGGATTGTGGCTATCAGTGGATTCTAGGAGGCGTGTTTCGTCCTAATCAGGACTCTTCAGCTGGATATACCTGCATCTCAGAGTTGATGTTCATTCAGAGATGCAAGTAAATCCAGCTGACGAGTCCTAAATAGGACGAAACGCGCTTCCACTGATAGCCACCATCCATCTTTGCCTATAATGCTCATAACTTAAGGCAATATCGAGGGAATTTGCACAGTATGTCTATATGCCAATAAGAGACTGATCAATTACAGTCCTAAACATCAATACGAAGATTCAAGTAAACAATACCAAGTGAATTTATGTGAAATGTAGTCTTTAAAATAGAGCGACTTCTCATCCAAATGTTTGTCTGTAATAAAAATTATCTAAGTGATAAATATAAATATGCTACGATTGATCAGATTAGACAGATCAACATTGAGAACTAGATTTCCATAAATATAATATACATAACGAATTTCCTTATACGTTAACCATAACTTGAAATACAAAAGCGTGTCAAAAAGTTAAGAATTTATCCACCCAATCCTTCTAACACGTTAAAACGATTCATTTTTCGTCAATTATTTAGGCAACTAAAAATTATAAATTGTCTCGAACGATAATAAAATGTAATGAATATGGAAAGTCCAACATGCATCCTTTAAACATTTAACTATAATAAATAATTAAGAAAATAATAATTCTACTCTAATTGACGTTAAAGAACTAGCGATCGATCAATATACGGTCTAACTCAAACAAATACAAAGTCATATATAAGAAGTTTCGTCTGAGTTTGGACTAACAGTTTCACAGTAATTGCGCGCTGAGTCAACATAAAACATCAAGGATGAAAAATATATTTATAGAACCTCAGACACTGAATTTGAAGTACATGGTTCTCCGGTTAATCGTATACTAAATTGGTCATCCAATCATGTTACAAATGTTGAAAGTAAGTATTTACTGTAGTATGTATGAGACCATCTGATGTGCAACGAAAATTGTGTTAAGATAACAGATTGTGTGTATTTGTAAAGTGATCTAAGGTGTGACAAGAAATTTCATGGAGTATTTATCACCCCTAAAATATAAAGTCATTATGAATAATCATTTACTTCACATTTGGTCGAATACATTTTGTGACTTAACTACATTTCTATCCTAACGTGTTTGTAAATGAACAGAAAGATAAAACTATTTATTCATTTGTAACTTTTCAGTACATCATATGAAATTCTATCCAACTTCATTTTACTGTTCCTGTATATTTAGTCCTTTTTTTCAGATTACAATTATTATCAACTTAACGTTATTTCACATCACAGTTAACTCTTTAGCCCAATAGTCAATTTTTTGATTATTTAACACTACAATCAACACAATATCACATTGATAAGTTCTATTACAGAAAAAAATTCTTTACAGTTTTTTCAGTCAGTCACAATTATCTCACTGAATTCAATCTTCTTCGTTTAATATTTTACGAAAAAAGTACATTTCTGAACCAAAAGTACTAGAGATTTTCATCTTTCCTTTTGGAAACCCTATACATGATTATGAAGACAATTAGCTAAGTGAAGGTTTGTTGTTAACCATAACTTCATGCCTGAATCATATCTTATACTTCGGTGAATCTGAACTCATTAGGCACTACTGAACAACCAATAAATATTTAAACAATAATTTCATTGAAATTCACGAAAACGCTTAAGTTGACAATTTTATTCAGAAGAAACCCAGAATCGAAATAATAACATTTTAGAGATAGGAAAATGGAGTACCAATATTTTAGGAAATGAAGTATGGTGGCTGTAATCATGGACACGCGTTTTTTCCTATACGGAGCTCACCAACTGAATGTACATCAATCTATATCAATGATGAGAACTAAACAACCAATATATATCAGATTATCAATATGTTTAACAATTAAAATTAAAATAAACCTCCTTAATGTAATCATGAAATAGTTAACTCACTAATGTTGCTATATTTGGAGTTATCGATGAAATCTTTGTACGTTCAACTTCTGCTTGCATTGCGGATATTTTTGGAACCTTCAATAAAGAAAATTTCAATGAATCAACATTACTAAAACACTGATTACATAATCATGAATTCATTTGTATATATCCAAATGCATGTAATCAAGTGAATACTTAAAGTAAATTTTAACAAAAACGACTCGGGATTAGAATTAAATCGTAAATTTTAATTATATATTTCAATGTTATATTACTAAATTTGGTAAACTAAGTACACTTAAGGTGGTTTATTATAAATCCATTAGAAAAAAATGGTTTATTATTATTTGAAAGTTCCCGTTAAACATTGTTCATAAGTTTTGACAAAGCTTAGATAATAATGACAAATCATAACAAAAATTGACTTTAATGGTATCTTTCTAGTTAATGAAATATGAATAACAGAAAATCTTTGACAAAAATCTTTATTAGTGAATTTAAACTAACTTAATATGAATTCTTGACCAATCTTAGTTAGTGATTTAATATCATTAAATCTAACTAAAATATTACAGTTTTCAGTGGACCGGGATCTGACTCCAAGTAAAATCGTTTGTGATCGCTATTGAGATATACATACCGTCAATCTTCGTATATAATCATGTTTACTCCACCGCTTGTCATATCGCTTCGCTTCTTCGATATTTTTTCTGGATCAACGATTGTATCAAATATAAGTATTTGAAATTCATTCGCGTATTTGGCTTATTTTATTCAGTCATTGAATAACGCGATTTAAGTCGATGAAATATACGAGGATAGGTGACATATATATTTCGACAGCAATCATTCAATGACAAACATTCATACAATCTAATTGGAGTCAGATCCCGCGCCACTAAAAGTTATTTTCAAGTACGAAATAAATTATTCAAAGAATTAATTAGTGAAATGAAAACGTAGAAAACATAAAAGCAATTTCACATTATTCACATAAAATCTGGACATATAAGCTGAAGTTTCTAAACGGTCACATTTGTATGTAGCTAAACATTAAGGAATCACAACAAGAGCATTGATAAACAATACATGTACTGAAAAACTAAGAAGCCTCTTGACTCAGACTATAATGAAATTGTTCAATTAATACCTCTACAGTACGCATAAATTATTTGATCATATTTTATTCTCCTAACGGTGAGACTATAATTTATGGACGACCTTTGAGCGACGCCAAAGTGAACATTGAAAATGTTCACCTATTAACTAGTAATAAATGTCGGTTATAAATCAGTGTGAGGAATTACAATTAGAATTAACAGTCGATGGTCAGGGTTAGGAATTAGATTTAGGCTTTTTATCACAAAAATTCCAAAACGCTATTTAGCCGAATGGTTGATTAAATTTCGCACCAAAATCCAAGACCTGTTACCTTATATCCTATTGGTTCATCCATAAATTATAGTCTCGCTCTCTTAAATGTTTCAATCATTTGTACTTATTTATTCAGATGGTCAAAAAAATACATTCAGAACATTGTTTTTGAATATAACATCAACTGGATATCATCTTCAGGATGGAATACAACATTTATATTTCAAATAGTTTAAATTATATCAATTATAACCTTATCGACAGTTTTTTGTCACCCTAAACGATAATATTTTGAACGTTTATGGTAACTAATGCACCATATTATCTATTTTGCTCCAAATTGAACGTACATTAGCTTAACGTTCATTTGTAAATCGAAATTTTGGCTGTGACGATCGGTTAAGAGATAAATCTTAAATGATCAAAATATATAAGATGACTGTTTCAATTTTAAAAACATACTATTTTATTAATTTATTACTTAATATCTTAAAATATAGAAAACATACATATTTAGAAAACTTGCTTATCTGAAAGTAACACAACGTTATTTGGCATGTACTACAGATTATCTAACAGAGTACTGTTGACTGATGAAATTGGACAATCGAACGGATTATTATTGATCAAAAATGGATTAATCTGTTATTCAGCTATTAAAAAGAAATCGAATCACTCTAAATACTGAGATAAACACAATTCTCATTCCGTCAAACACTTAAATTATTACAGATATTATTATTACAAATATTAAGCAAGGTAAAGTAACTCTTACAACATATATGTGGTATCAGTATAATTGATTTAGACTAACATACACAGATACTAATTCATACATTCAATTAGATAACTTTCCAAAGTATGACTGAATTGCTGTAATACACAATCATTTACATTAAGTACAGTCATCACAAACTTTTCATTAAAAACGAAATACTTTTGTTGTGTTAAAGAGATTATAGTAAAACAGAGAAATACGAATCTGTTAAATTTATTCTATTCAAAATTATTTGTCGATCCAATATTCAATATATATTCATCGATAATCATTTTATTACTTGTCACCTCAAAACTCTGACTATTTCCAGTCAGAGACAAAGAAAATATTTAAACTATGTGTATTTTTCAGCCCTAACAATGTTGTCATGACAATATAAAAAAATCAATGTGGTGAAGGAGGCAAAAAAATTTTTTTTTGTTTATCCTCTAGCCTCATTCTCATACAGATTCAGTCATCTAGTTAATTTTCTTTATGATTATAATTACCGCTATATTTTCATTGATTTCAGTGATATTGATGTGGTCAAAACCTATAATGATGGTTGTCCTTTTAGTTTATGGATACCACACCCTAGTAATTAGAAGTGAAAAAAATGTTCAAATGATCTAAATACAGGTAATAAAACCATTCAAATAACAAAAACAATACATTATTTAGGTTGCCAATTACGATCTTTTAAGACAACTGATAATCAAATTAATCCAAATTATTGATTGATTGGTAAAAAAAAACTAAACCAGATACGATTCCATGGTATAGGAGAATGTCAACCAACTGTAAATCTAATGTTACCAACTTAAATTAACCTACCTTTGATAAGATAACCAAAACAGTGCTGTTTAGTAGACTAACTTATCAGTTACTAACTATCTTCGACTGATTATTGTTGAATAAAATATGATTTTATGAATCATATCAAACTCCATAATCATTCGACTTCGAACAAACCACTACTATGTTTAACATTTTTACAATTGATTGATTAACTAGTAGTGACCAATGCCATGTATATCAAAATGCTCTTAATACTGATCCGATCCAGCACTCTAGTCACTAGTCTGAGGGATTCTACATAGTAACCACTATGTTGAGATATAAGGTGGTTGAAGATGGTCGGTAAGGAACCTTGAATTTGGGCTACATACACTCGTCATTAATGTATGGAGGGAATTGGCACTTCCCGGATGATTCTGTCCCGTTTCACCTAGCTTCATAGTTAAATACGCTGTCATGATACACCATATTACTTGTCATCCTGATAGCTCAGTAATAACATCTCTGACTGTGAAACTGAGAAACACGGCACAGAATCTGTTAGGAAACACTAGACCCCTTGAGGTCACTAGAACACTCTGCTGAAGAACCCCAAAGAGCACAAAACCTAGGTCTAAAGTTTCCTATCGACTACCTACTGTCATATCAAATACTTATGCGCACTAGGTAATCTTATAAAAACTATTAAGGCCCATTTCTTTCATAGGACAGACGTAATGAAGTAAATAATTAAGTAAATCTTTAGTGTAAAAATACATTTTTGATGAAAATTCCAGACCTTTCAGTAATTTTAAGTTTACCATATCAATACAGAACGCACGTCAGCTGAATATATTTGGACCCTAATGTTGATGTTCGCATTTAAGCTCTAACTCAGCATCATTTGTTTTAAGTACCCAATGTATTATCCGCTGAGCTAGCAAATCCAGATACCCATTAACTACTTGATAACTTTCAAGCAAACTAGCTAGTAAGTAGTCAATACACCATATATTCTAAGAAATAACTGAAATTGTGATTAGTCATGTTTTAAGAGTTCTATTAAACAATTATGAAAAAGCTTAAGGTCTACTGAATTCATCAAAACTAACTAGCATACGGAATTTCAGATCTTAATTTAATTACAAACAGACGAGTTAAGTTTATTGTTTGTAAACAAGCTTAAATATTACGATTGGATAAATATTAGACCACCATTGCAAACTTGTAAACACTGGACGGCCATTCCGTCCTAGTACGGGACTCTTCAGCAGTGAGTATCCATGATCTCGCATGAGGTACTAGAACCCAGGACCTTCGGCCTCGCTGGAGAACGCTTAACGTCTACACTACCGAGCCGGCATCCAACAGTGTTGATGTCTAACTTCAACCAATCAACGACATTATTATGTGCTCACTAGTGACTGGCTTCAAGATAAGTCTTCTGGAGTTCTAGCAAGAAGCCGTGGCTAGTAAAGTTCATTTGTGTCTGATGTAGAGGTAATTCCTTATTGGAGACAATGATGGACGGTTGCACAATTGATTGAAGTCAGACATTAACACCGTTGGATGCCAGCTAATTCAAAGGTCTAAGGGATAAGCGTTCGCCCGCGAGACCGAGAGCCCTGAGTTCATGTATCGCGTGTGGGATCGTACATGCGAATTGCTGAGTCTCATATTAGGACGAAAGGGCTGTCAAGTAATTCTAGGTTTTCAATGGTGGTCTAACATTGATCCATTTACGATGTCGATTGAAACTCAGCAATCTCCACAACCCTATACTGATAAGCTAAAAAATGTTATTGGTAAAGTTGAGAACTCATCGAACTGAATTTTAAACTCAAGATATTTGGAAGCCAAGAAAATTTTAACTATGTTTCAGCATAACAAAAACGTCGTTTCGCATTAATTAACATAATTTAAATAATATGCCTTCAGTGGAATTTCACATTATCCTTCCTTCCATTAAGTAATGCAATTTTGTGAACAATTCTCGGTAAACTTAAATGATCATTAAAATCTTTTTTTTTAAAGAATGATATATATATTCAATTAAAATTACTTTTGAATATATCATTTACAGCCCGTATGCACTGAAGATACTATACTGATATATTCACAGTGGTCAAATTAGAAAACAAATGAACTCAAGGTCACACGTGAAGTCTAATATTCCGGATTTGAATTCAATCGGATTTTAATGATTTCATAAACCAACTAAGACATACTTATCTAATAGAAAGTAATTGCTTCTGAGAAACTAGTATTATCATTCAGTTTAATGTCCGTTTATGTGATGATTCCCTTGACAATAAAATTTAAGATGACTATCCTATAATAACAAACTATAATATATGACTATGGCATAACAGATTGTGATACTAATCAATGGTATGATAGGAATAATATGATATTTGGATGCATTTTAATTTAACTAATAAATATGTACATTATTCATTCATTATTTCTCAAATGTTTCGTTATTAAATAAAGTGAGCATATTCAAAGAAACAATTCGGTTAATCTTGGAAAGTTTCCTAAGATAATACGTTTAATATAATCGCCATGTTGGAAGGTACTATTTATAGCCGCCTATTAAATAATTCAGTAACAAATAATTATCTATATAATTTATATAAGGTTCAACTAAGAAAAACGAATACAAAGTAAATTAATCATCTTACCTGAATAATAGCAATTTGTGTTTCTGTTTGAAATCGTTTATGATTCTTTATTAGTTCTTGTAAATAAACAACAGATCGTGCATCAAAACAATCTTGTCTACATTGATCTAATAATCGTTCATAATACATATTGATCTAAAATTAATCGTATATACAATAATAATCAGTTAATATCTTCTGAATGTAGCAGATTTCTAACTTGTAAACTATTATTCACTGAACTAATGACGGTGTTAGGATTTCATTGAGAAATCTATGAATGTGAATACGGTGACAAATATATCCAACAAGTTAACTGAATAACAAAATCTAAAGTGAAACTTTATTCGTTGCATAACAGTAAATTAATTATAAGAATATAGAACTGGAGCTAGTGAATATTCATTGAGTTTACTGACAATTTGTTTAATTTGTGGGTTTCATTCATTACAGTGCGGTGACCAGTGAAAATGAAAGAGAAATGGATAGTTGTTGTGTCCTAGTATGAAACTTCTCATAAGGGTGCACGGCCTCACGAAGAATAGAACCCGGTTATTATCCTTGGTTTAACCACATTTCATTATATATTTTGATTCAATCAAATAGAAAATATAGTATGAGTTATAGATAATTGTTGAAAACTGGGTATATTTCTGTGGTCATTATTGACTGGCGATTTCCCTTGACGGTCAATACCCCATTTATTTCCTTTATTATTTTGTTTGTTGAATGTTCAAAAGTACAATTATAAGTTTTTGTGAAAAAAACACCTACCTCATTGATTTCCATTTAAAATCTCATAATGATAATATGTAATTGAAATACAATCGATTCACATATCAAATCAGTCTGCTTAAATTTCTAATTTATTCACATTCCATCAATTCTAATACTGAATCATTGAATGTTTTTAAAACGTTTTATTATACTTTATTATTACTATTGTTAGGCCTCCTAGTGTATTATTACGCTTATTTTAATGAAAAGACAACTTTGTGTTTAGAAAAGATATACACATCATAAAATCAATCTAGAAATACAAACTGTAGTTTTACTATGGATATAGTGATTAAACACTTAATTACTTTTTGAATGTTTTATTTTCTATCGTAAATTGTAATTTGATGAATTAAAATTACATTTAATCAAAATCTTTTAAGAATTTCACAGGCTGAAATCATGAGTCAATTGAAGCTAGACCACCATGAAAAACCTGGGAGCACTGGACGGCCGTTTCGTCCTAGTATGGGACTCTACGGCCTCGCCCCCCGCGGGACTTGAACCCAGGACCTACTGGTTTCGCGCGCGAGTACTTAACCACCAGACCATTGAGCCGGCACCCAACGGTGGTAATGTCTAACTTCAACCAATCCACGAAGTTGCGCCACCGTACACCATTGTCTTCAATGAGCTGATATCTCACAAGAGACCTAGTTGAACTCTACTGGTAAAGGCTTCTCACTAGAATTCCAGAAGTATCTCCTGAAGTCAGTCACTAGTGAGCATTTGATTGTTATCTGAATGATAATATCTTTAAAGTTATTTTTTATTTCTAATTGTATAAAACTATTGACATAATTGAAGTTATTATAACAGTGAGAATGAATGCAAATATCGAGCAACCAACCAGTAAATAAACGGGGAAAAATGGTCGGAAACTTTGGATATGACACTTGGTGAAATGTCACAAATGACCTTCAGCCATACTTTTGCATATCATATTAAACTAAGACAATTATTATTAATTTACTGATAGAAACAAGAATGGAATAAGAAATGTATGATTATTCTCTAATAAATGAATCAGTATAATTTTGTTAAGTTATTCTATCATATTTATGTATAATTTTAACTATAAACTGTTTAACGATTTAGTTAAACGTAAATGAATTTTTCAGTTTGGTCCTAGTTATAGATCTATTAAGGTTTATAATTTGTTTTATGTCGTGATCTGGTATTTAGTTAACACTATCATATGGGTTATCAACTAAAATAACAACAATACTCAGATATATATAGAATTCATCTAGGCTTATATTTTTCCAACTAGATATTGCAAAAAGACAGAAATATTCAAGGCTTATTGATTGTCTAAAACAAAATACAGCTACGCATTTGGTAGACTAATTGTTAAGGGCGTAAAAAACTAACTTTAAATTTTAACTTGACTATTTACGAAACGAAAAAAAACGAAAATCCTACTGAATAATGAGTTTAGAAATAATTTATTGTTTACAAAATATCATCAATTATAACCAACTAATGTGTTGGCCCCCAAATGCCCTAGTACGGCCGAGAGTGGGGAGAGTCCGCTCTCCCTCTCCAAATGCTCTCACATGGCCACGCGTATATAGCCTCTGCCAGGGAAGTCCTACTCACTGCCTTCTCGTGGCGGGGTTGTTGTTTACGAAAATGAGAGGCCGAAAAGCGAATGTCCGGCGCTTTAACCGGATTCCAAAACAATGATGCACATGGGCTCCAGTATCCTGTGGGAACAAATGGCGTATGAACCAATTGTTGGTCACCGGCTTCCATGGGACTGCATCACCTTACGATGCTCCACTGCCTTGTGGATCAGACCTTCAAGTCGAAGGCTTGGGGAGTGGCCCCCTAAGAAAACCACCTGCTTCGGTTTGGGCACCCAGGCAGTATCACAGCCCTCACACATATCGAATGAGATTTGTGTGGCGCATATGTATTTGATGCCTCCTTGTACCAATATCTATGTTTTAAAATAAATAAATAAACTAATGTGTTAATCTAACCTTGATGTGATTTACCAGCAAATAACATAATAGCTAAAATTAAAATGATTTGATGACTTTCAACAAATATTGGTTAGTTTTGAATTTGTGTATTATTTTTTTCAAAGTGACTAGGTACTAAAATATATGGTTGAAACTGTCCTATATAGAGAAGTTTTCATTGTGAATTGACTTCAACTCGTGAGCCATTGAAAATCCAGGGAACATATTGGATAATTGTTTAATCCTATTGCGGAACTTCTTAGTAGTGTTGAGATATATCCAGTTAAATATCAAATATGATGTGATAGATCATATTAAAACAATCCTAAAATTATCATTATTCATATTATAAAAATGTCATAAGAAAAATAAGTTAAATACACATTATTTGACAGACCTCATTCAATAAATCAATTAAATTAACCGAAGATTCAAAAGCTAATAATAAAGATGATCTTCCAGATATTGATGAACTTGTACGATTCTTTTCATTTTTATGATTTACAAAAGATGAATTACCATTCAATGTTAGTCTCTGTGAATTATTATCATCATAATCTTCAGTACTATTCAAACTAATTTCATTGTCATTCAATGAGCTAATTGTTTGAATACTATCATTTGTTTTAATAACATTAACAGTTGAAAATAAATTAGTTTCTATATTATTTTGTCCAGTTCTATAATCATTATTGTCCAAATAAGGTTCAGCAACTATTGCTTCCATGGAAGAGAACAAATTTTGTTCAGATATATTTAAAAAGCAAATTTGTAACGCTGGATTATTTTTCTAAGAATAAAAAAGAGAAAACAACAACAACAAAACAATCGATGAATTGTATGTTTATAAATTACTCATATTTTAGTGATTTGAATAATGAAAAAAAGAAAAAAAAAGGAGAAAAATCTAATGTTTATAACTTACATTAATTTGTAAATGAAATACCAATCCATTTGATTTAAATTAGTGTCATTTTATTATTTAGAGAATTATAATCACTTTTGTATAACATTCAATAATTAGATTTACATCCTGACTGACAGTTTACAAGTTAAAATAATAAAATCAGATCTAACTAGATCCGTAATTTTAATAAATAAGTAAATAAATAAATTGTGTACAATAATAATGAAATAATCAATCAATCAACCAATAGAAACACAACTTGCATATGATTGGATAATTATGCATTTCAAGGTTATTTGAAAATTAGTAATAAATTAATTTACAATATAAAATAATTAATTATAATTTGTAAATAAGACTTTAAATAGTCTTAGATTACAATAATATTATACATAAAATGGATTGTTATCAGTGTTGACATTTTTATGAATGTAAGTACACACATAAAATGCAGATATATTTCATATATTTATGAATATTTAGTGTTTATTAAGAAAACGACTTTAATTGTTAGAATTAAAAAAACAATATGACAATGAAATAATTTTTTTCAAGAATTTCCAGTGATTTTTTTTCTGGTTGGTGTTGAAAAACATCCGGAACTAAAAATAACTGTCAACTAACATTAAAGCCAGAATTATCAATACAAATGTTAAAACATTTCTACTGTATGGGGCGGAAACCTAGAGAACTACGAAAGCAGTCATTCAGAGGATATAAGTGTTTATTAAGAGTTGCCTACGCAAAATACTTCGGATCTGTTGGCCAGACATCATTAGCAACAGCCTATTGTAGAAGAGAACAAACCAGGTCCCAGTGGAGGAAGAACTCAGGAAGAAGCTCTGAAAGCGTATAGGAAACATATTGAGGAAAGCACGCAACTGCGCCATAAGGCAAGCCTTCACATGAAATCTTCAAGACCAAAGGGGAAGAGGAAGACCGAAGAACACATTACGTCGAGAAATGGAGACAGATATGAGATAACATAAGCTGTCTACTGATGTCTACAAAATAGTTCGTATTCACCTGACATTCTAAGCATTGACTATTTAAAATGAAGAGAAACACTTTAAAATGAATTCTTAGTATGCTAGTTTTAGAATCAGAAGAGAGTCAGTATTGAAGAGTTATTAAATCTTTAATTGAAATTTTTCATGCGTATGAACAATGAAAATGTCAAAATTCTTAGTTAAGAGCATTTTAAAAATGCTGAAGAATTTCTATAAATATTCCATATAGAACAATTAACCGAATCTATTAACTAATACGGAGAAAGTTAATCAACCACATGATCAATGGTCAAACGAACAAGATGGTAAGCTTGAATACAAGGATAAATAAAAACAATGAAGCCTGAGAAAACAACCAATCAAAGACAAGACCAATAGAACGAACTGACCTAACGCTTGTGGAATAGCCAAAAATTTCACTCACAAAAAAATTTAAATAAAATAAACGTTGATGACGTGATAGGATGAAAAAGAAAAGTTCACAATTCAACGATCTGCCTGTTTACAATTGCTTAAAAATATCTACATAAAGTGCCATAAAAGATTGATACCATTGTAATAAAATCTCCAGGTAATCATAATATCATTTACCCAATGTGACAATTTAACAATTTACATATAAAACTTTTATGAGTTTATAATAAAGCATAAACCTTACTATGTTTTAATGGTAATTTACTATTTCATCACTATCAACTTATATGATGCCAATCGGGCCTCGAATTTTATGGAATATATTTGTTACGTCCTTGATCTGTCTACCCACTTTTGTACAGAGGATACTTGGCTAATCTAGATTAAGACCTTGACGCGATAGGCTGACCAGCTTAATCTTGAGGCTAGTATGCGTGAGTTCGAAGTGGAGTAGAGAAACGAAAACTATTCTATCACCTGATTGGCTGACAAGCGCGCAAGTAAGAGAAGACAAGTCAACTGGAACACTACTCAATTCATTCCCAATTCTGATTTGGTTGCTGATTTCATATTAGTCTAAAAGTGTACATAAATAAATAAATGACTAACCTGACTATTGACAGATAATTCCCATTTAAACATTAAAATTAAAACACGAAGTTCAATGAAGTGATCTCTTTTCAGCGAACTTATTATCAAGCTGTACAATCGCATATATATGAAAATTTTGTTTTTGTAAAAGTACTAATTCCGTGAGGAAATGTGAACACAGTTAATAAAAAGGTTATAATACTAGATTACGTAATGCGAATAATAACAATAGATTTAGTGAATATAATAAGATTATTAAAATGAATAAAAATGTTTTTGTCAACCGGTGTGCACATACACAATATTGAAGCTATGTGCTCGAGGCTGAAAGTTTTTGAGACTTTATCATGGCTCCAGAGGCTGACAATTCTGTAACCGTATGGATGATTTCTTCTACTGCATGCATTACGATTTTAGAACCTCAGAACCTCTTTCTAACCTTGACAAGTTTTTGAACCATGTCTAAGAAGTATATTCACTTTATTTCCTTGCATAATATATTTTTACTCTACACTGACTGTTTGCTGATTGGCCAATATTTATCAAGGTCACTTAGGATTCGTTCAAAGGTCGTATATAAATTAGTCTGGCCACTTTTTCTAATCTAATGATCCTATTACCAATAATTGTCAGGTATCAAATAATTCCATTTCTTTTTTCTTTCAGATGAGCCAATATTTACTTTAATGAAATTACTAATTACTTTCAATGAAATACATTCATTTGCTTTGATAATATAATGAATGAATGAATGAATGAATAATTCACAAGCATAAATATTTATATTATTAAAACAAATAAAGTAATCTGATATAATTAATAAAAAGATCTATCAATCATTCTGAATTAAGTATACTATTAAAAATGTGTTATATACCACCATTATTAGCAAATATTGATATACAAACATAATTTTAATTCATTAGTAAATGATCATAGAATAATACATGAAAGAAGAAAAAAGGAAAGAAGAGAAAACAACAACAACAACTAAAGAAAATGCATCGATTTATTGTGTTGAGTGGTTAATTATTCATACAGAAAAAAAAATTGATTTTTTTCGTGTAGTTAATTATTACTCTTTTAAATTCACAGTTTATTCTGGTAATTTAATGAACGGTTATACTTATAAATAATCATTAAATTTATTCGAAATCATGAATCGATTTAAGTTAGATTATGATTGAAAACCTGGAAGGAATGAACGGTCCTGTTGACTTAGGATGAGATTCTTTGATAATAAACATCCTTGACTATCGTTGTAGGAGTTGAACTTGAGACTTTTGGTTTCACAAATGAATCCTTAACATTTAGACTAATGAATCGGGTTTAAATTGTGTATCAGCTTAACTTTAATCAATCCATAAACGTGTACTTTTAGTGGCCCTATTATCTGACTCCAACTAAATCGTATAAATGATTGTTGTCAAAATATATATCCTGGCTATCCTCGTTTATTTTTATAGAATTAACGTGCGTTGGTGAATAATAGAATTTAAATAAGTCAAATACGAGAATGGATGTTTGAATACGTATATTATGTATAGTCGTTGACCCGAACAGATAATCAGAGAATCACAGCGAATGAAGCAAAGAGAAGGCGAAGCGAAACGAAAGGACGAGCAATGGAAAAGGCGCGTGAGCCAACTCCATTTAATCAAGCGTTAATATTTGTAGCCAGATAAAATAAGTTACAGACATATGATGAATAGGATCAGAAGTGTACACACACATACGCTCATATAAATAGTCAGGGTTGAGAAGTGAACAATTAACATGATCAAAACGTGACTCAAGAAGAATGGATAAATTTACCTGTCCTGAAGGTAGAATAAGTTATGTGGGCTTGACATAGTAACGGACACTACAAACTGATAATCATCAAATCCTCACTAATAACTAGCTTCGAGAGGAAACACCCAGATATTTAGTGATAAGTTGCAACCAATGTAGCTAAAGTGTGTCAAATATATGGAAGGCAGCTACTGAACACAGTGGAAAATAGTCACGAAATATGAAAGAATGGTTGCACCCCGGTTCAATGGTCCAGAGGTTAGATGTTTGCGCATGTGAGATCTGTAAAGGGTTAGATCCTCGTTTTTCAGAGTCATGAATTTTCACTAGTGAAGAGTCCTACACTAGAACGAAACGGCTATAAAGTTCTTCCAGTTTTCCAAAGACTGCTTAACTTAGATTAGTCTTTGATTTAATTTTTCACATACCATACTAATAATAAGACTTAATTGGAAAAGATTATGTCGTTCTATAACGAAGTTATTGATCATTAGCAAACGTTTGTCATCATGACACTAAGATAAATTAACCTAAGTCATTAATATTTTAATTTCTGCAGGGTACTTGATTCATAGCTAATTATCTCGCATATTTATGATTTCATCAGTAGACAACATCTCACACAATAATATAAGTGATTACGAATGAGACTGTTTCAGTCTGACCTATAATTATATTAATAATGTAAACACGTTTTTAGCTTAGCTAGAAGATTTGTGTAGATTTTGTTTTGTTTTTTTAAAATCGGAGGACAGGTCTTACCATAGACTGATAATAGCAAATCTTGTGTAGGTGGATATTTCAAAGATTGAGTGATTTGTGAAGTTTACTAAGAGTTATCTCATCCTGCCAACAAGAAACACTTAATTGTTGGCAAACTTGACTAGTCTTTCTCAGTATTGTAGTCAGTAAAATAAGAATAGATGGAATGTAGTTGGCAGTGGAATTCAGGACGCCCATTTCATCCCTAGATGGATAATACCTGCATCCCGGAGTTGATTTTGTAGGAAAAATAAAATAAATAAATATGTATAACGGCGAGACAATAATTCATGAACGAATAAATGAAACTGAAGATAGTAAGTATAGGATTATGGAGAAAAATTCATTCATCTATAAGGTTAAATGGAATTTTTGTGTTGTAGCTGATGTCAGTTCGTGATAAAAATCCTAAACCTAACTCCAACTCTTATTCGTAACCCTAACTTCTAACTCAATAACTCTCTTTTGACCTTAGTAAGGTGATGAATTTTCTCAAGGTCACTAGTGTCCATCAGAGGTCATCCATAAATTAGTCTCAGTATAGTCTTATGTAGATTAAAAACACCAAAACTATTTTATGTATCATATATGTAATTGAGGGAAGATTTTGGACTTGTTATTTGCTCAGTGAATAGGTTTTTTTTAATGTATCCTTTACACAGTGTACTTTTACGAAAACTGACTTATCAGCATATCAATTAGGGTTTTCGACACTAAGATTAATTAAGTATTCTTGTATCATAAATACGAAAATTCTAAAAGAAGTCGTGATTTAGTAGACTGAGTCACAAAAACCAAAATCAGTAAAGGAAAAAGGCTATAGAATAAAACACGAAAGGTGCTAAATACGAGGAACAAAAATCGAAATATAACTCAGGAGTAAAATGTGTTTAATAAGGAAAATTTTAATAAGACAACAATAATTACTCAGAACACCAGTGAAATATAAAAACAAATTAAAACTGACGTGTGAAACATAAATCACTGTTAATACGATTAGGACTTAGTGATCAAGAGCAGTAACCACCAAGGTGGCTTAAAACTTAGCTAACATGTATTTTTAGAGAATATTTCAAATTTAATCGATGAACACTATCATTAACATAAACTTGTATCAGAAAATAAACCAAATATATGAAAGCATCCTAATCAAAAAATAAATATAGGGGATGGACTATATTAACTTTGTACTAGCTAAAGATGAGTGCCAAAAAATATTGAAACTTGAGTTTCGTTAAAGTAAATTACAAAAAGAAAAGAGCACTACTAAGACTTGAAGTGGATACTTGATTGGTTCTCTACCAGTTTGTATTCTAAGAGTGGGACTAAAAAATAAATAATGTCACTCTTTTAAAACTTTATTTTTTGGACAAATTGTTAGGTATCATTTTAATCTTAAGCACAATCATTTAAGCCCATATGTAAGCATAAGACTAGAAGCTCACCTGATGTTTTTGGTCAATCCATGATGGTCTTGATTCCAACCATTCTTCAACTTCGCGACAAAGATCAGAAGGTCTACTTATTTTCGGAGAACTGCTGTTGCTCACCGGCTGAAATTGAGCAAAAACGAAGATATTACCGATCTGGTACATAAATGTGACTGTAAACAATTAGACCACGAGAAAAATTATGCAGCCATAATGGAGCTCAGGTCATATAATGAACAACATACGGGTTTACTGGAAGATTTAGAGAAAAAAAATGTCTAGTTTATGAATTCAGTTATCGAAAATGAGTACCATACAATAATAATAAGACGGAGATTAAAGTAAATAATCTCTGTAAAATTATCTACAGGAAACGATACTCTAAATGTAGGCTTGTAACAAAAACCACATTGTGATAGTGTACGAACAGAACAAAAACAAGCGAATGAACTGAAGAAGTGACCAGCAATTAAACGAATCATTTCATTTTCTACATAGGGATTTCGCTCCTCAATTATGAAAACATTGAACCTCAAAAACAGTCTGGTCAGTTTAGCATCAGTTTAGGATCTCATCGTCACTAATTATAAATTCATAGAACTGGTGAAACTCATGTTTGCTGTGACATAAACAACAGAATTCACTCTACTTACACGACTGGGAAGGCTAAAATTTTAATGATACATGTCAGTCAGTTGCTGACTATGTTGAACTTGATATAAGTGTTTATTAATCCTGCTTGCTACCCATTAGATCAGTCTATTAAGTATAAATATTGACAAAGTTAGATGAAGAGAATAATAAATAATATTCATCAAAGTGGATAGTTAAACCCTGTAGATATAGTTTCAGAGAAACGAATGGGATCGAAGCGTGAAAAACACTAAATAAAGATAAGGAATGAATGTAACTGTACCACTGCGATATAATTTGGGGTATGTTATCCAACACCTTTAACCAACACTATTCATGTACCCCTTAGCTTAGAAGTCTGCATACACGATTTTGGATCATTTATCCAGTCGACATCTTCATTTCCTCACTCCTAGCGTCTATTCAGCCAACCCTAATGCCAACTAGAAGTATTTGACCTCATATGTATTTGTTGAACATTTCCTAACTTCCTGATTTTACAGTTTATGGGTTCGTCAATCGAATTTTACTTTAAAATTTCGAGTCGAGACTCAGCGAATTATCTAACAAACATGGTGACATAGTGATTCATTTTGTTTCGGCAATTATGTTTTATTATTTAAATCATGAAGAGACAGATGCAAAAGACAACATGATAAAATAAGGAAATATTCTACACAACTATGTTTAGTATTGTTTTAACTGATGATATTCATTCATAGTTTTCCTACCATTCGATTTAATGATTTGGTCAACACTCTCCATGAAATCCCAGCAAGACTATTATATACACCATAAAATATGTATTTCGAAAGCGCTTCTAACTGATAATATCGATTATTTCAAATAACACAACTAAACTTATGCTAGTCGAACATCAAGTTATTAAATGTTTGTATTAACTTATATAACAAAAGTTGTTAAGAAAAGTCCATTAACTAGTCCTGAGAGAAAATTTGCACCATCTGCTCGAGCCAAGTGTATACACGCCACAAATCACAAAAAATAACGGGGTTAATGTTTCCTGTGTTAATTAGTTTAAATGATTAATTATTACAATCACCAATCATATAGTGTTCTGCTGAACACAATCGAATTATTGGTTGACTTTAAATGGGAACTAAGCCAAAAGTGTGAGAATATTTAGAATTAGAATCAATAAGAAACAATCGCTATGCTTTCACAGCCAGATATTTAGATTCAATTTTTGAATGGTCCCAAATAATATGAATTTAATTCTTACTACTAGTTTCATATTCAGTAGTTCATCTTATTGACAGAAATTGCTCAGGACATCAATAACGTAACCGAATGGTCAGCTGAATAAACCTGTATGTCAATGTTAATGTTCACAAATAGAAAAGCAAAGAGCGCGCCTCCTGGATTTTCCTGCTAGCCATTATTCAACATCATTTAATCTTGTAACTAGAAATATCGAGATTTTCCTCTGACGGTACACAAAAGGACAATGATCGATCCTTAACGTGAAGAACAGGAAAATACGACCCATTACAAGTGTTATTGTTGTTAGGATTAAAGATATTGTGAATGATATTTGTTTAATGAAGTAAAATTGTCTTCACTGACGTTCTTTTTTATTGATAAACTGTTTCCACTACTGAAAACCTGGGAGCCCTGGACGACCGTTTCGTTCTGGTATGGGACTCATCCATGACAGTGTACATCCACGAACCCGCACTCATGACTCGGAACCAGGACTTTCCGTCTCACAAGCGAAGACCTAAGTTCTAGACCACTGGGACAGTATCCAACGGTGTTAATGTCTAACTTCAACCATCCACCATTGTTTTCAGTGAGTAACTGCCTCACAACAGACACGGTTGAACTCCACTGGTTATGGCTTCTCTTTATTACTCCAGGAAATCCTTCTTAAACCCGGTCACTAGTGAGCACATGCTAATTTTCAGTATAGGGTCGTGGTCTAACCTTGTTCCATTCATGATATCAATCTAAACTCAATCAATTCGAGAACCTTATACTGATAATCTGTTTCCAGTTAAAAGTTAACCACTTACGATATCGGTTAAATATATTCTATCAATAAACAGTCCAATTTACAAAACGCAAAGATTATATTTCAACTCTGAATTAACAAGCTAATTTAGATATTCTGTGATATGTGCTACTGATTTCGATAAATATAAGTAGTATTTATCATCAATGCCTGGCGGCACAAGGTTAAGAAGATCGAAGAGAAGAGAACGAGAATCGTGAATGATTTGTGTGGAAAAAAAAGGAACAATCAAGTCTGAGATGATTAATTAACATTTTGCAAAACAAGTATTTACTGTATGGTAATCAGATTTTGTTAAGACCTGTAATTTTGTATTCAAATACATTAGATTATCCTCGCCTGAGTTCTCGTTCATTACAATTCCATAAATAATTGTTTATAATATTTAGGCAGTGAAACACGGCCGGTAAGAGTAGAGGATATTCGTAGGTTACCAGTATTTGACCATAGGTGTCTTCGAAACATTGCTCGTATATCCTGGGACCATTGAGTAAGTAACGCAGTTGTTAGGAAACGGGTACTAGGTAAGGATGGCAAATCAATAGATGATGTAGTGAAACTTCATCGGTTGAGATGGCTGGAACATGTGTTACGTATGCCCAACCACCGACAGCCCCGACGTGCGACATTTCATGGTGTAGGAGTAGGTTGGGAGAAAGCTAGGAGTGGCCAGACCAAAACATGGCACAAATCCATGAAGTCAATGACAAGTGGTTTGAGCCATATTGGTAGGTGTAGACTACCTGGTTGGGATCTGCGAGATGATAACAACCGATGGTAAGAGACCCTGAGTGACATGGCTGAAAATAGTTTACAATGAAGCAGATGTATCCACTCCTTGTGTTCTCTCAAATTCTAATCCTCTGAATTCTTCATGTCCCTTTTTTCTCTTTCTGAATTTCTTTCACTGGATTATACTCCTGTGATAACATCTTCAAACCCTAATCTTTCCGATTATTGCTTATACTCTTACCACCTCTACCACTACGGGATTTGAATCGACAACTCGAACTGTTGTACGTCCGTACGAAGTTCTACGTTGTTACTGACTGACTGATAATATGTAAACAATCATAGAAATGCATAAATGATAAGAAATAGAAAATTTAGTGAATCATTAATTATGATTTCAATATTTCCGATTTGATCATTGATTATTCATTTGTTAACAACAGGTAAGTCACATGTATGTTATATCATTCTAGTAAAATAATTTTGTATATAAATAATTGTTTTCATTATCTAGTAATTATTTTCTTGCAAAATCTATCGATTTTTAATTCAGAGATTAATTTTATGAGTAGATTTTCATCAGTAATTATTTAGTGGTTAAGCGCTCGCATGCGAAACTGATAGGTTCTGGGTTCGAATCTTACGAGGCGGGATCGTGGATGCACACTACTGAGGAGTCCCACAGTAGGACGAAACGGTCGTTCAGTGCTTCCGGGTTTTCCATGGTGGTCTAGGTTCAATTGACTCATGATCTCAACTATTAAAATTATTTAAGTATTATTTTTCAATGGTTAAGATCATGAGTCAGTTGAAGCTAGACCACCATGGAAAACCTGGAAGCACTGGACGGCCGTTTCGTTCTATTGTGGGACTCCTCAGCAGTGCGCATCCACGATCTCGCCTCCTGTGAGATCGGAACTCAGTACCCACTGGTTTCGCGCGCGAGCACTTAACCATTAGACCACTGAGCCGGCATCCAACGGTGTTAACCATTGAAATTACCATAATATCCACAAAACCCGTCTGATATTATATTTCAGTATTTTTTTCATATCAATCAACTGTTCCGTTTAAAAAAAAATTTAACAAGCTAAAATATTATGGATAATAAAATATGTTTAAAGAGTTTCACAGTCTGAAACACAATAATGAATTCTACTGGATCAGCTCTTCATTCAATTCTGCATCATAATTACAATAATTTACGATATGTTTTCTTATTAGACGAGACCAGAAAAATAATCTCCGATTATGCTTATTGTTATATTATATCTATTATTATTATTATTATTATTATTATTATTATTATTATTATTATTATTATTATTATTATTATTATTATTATTATTATTATTATTATTAATAGTCGTAGTGACTCTAGAATGTCTTATATGAACTTTAGACTAATACTAATAAAACATACAGTGTGGAACTAATGCGTCATTTTTACCTCTCTAATGATATTCTATCCATTTTAAGCAGGACTGGCCTTCTATACATTTATGCCTTTTATGTTTGTCTTCATCGATTATATGTATTTACTTTCATGGGATATGACTATCCACTTGTATATATTATACCTCGACAGACTTAAGCATAAATCTCTTTATGTATATATGTTTATTATTTACTCTATTTGTTGTCTATTTACTGGCTTACATTTCTTTTTATTTAAACTATATAAGATGAGTCACTACATTAGTTGACGAGTTAGTGTACTGCCAATCCTCAATGCTATTCACCTATATTCTTTTTCTGTTTATATGTATATTTGAAAGAAATATATCTAAAACACAACCCTTATTCAAATTTTTACATAATATTTACGAGGTTAGATAAGGATCTATATTTCATTCACATAATTCATCATCAATCCCAGTCAACTCAATACTTTATATTCTTACTCAGCTATATGAATAGATAGAACCAAATACCACTTTATGGTTAGATTAACTGCTTGGACATACTATTTTTTATTCCAGAAAAAGTAACAATCATTATAATTACTTCATGACTGATTATTGTGCTTATATATTGCAACATACAACATTAAAAATTCATTTATTCGTTTATCTTCAAAAGAGCAAGAACAAAGATTCTAGCAGAATAGTATGAATTCATTTTATTTCGTTAGTTCTCGTCAACTGCTTATAACCTGTGATACCTTGTAATCTTTCAATAACTCAATCAAAGGTTGAAAAGTACCCGTTTAACGTTACTGCCAACTGTATTTATAAATTTACGCGTACCTGCCAAACCAGCTACATTAGCAGAACAGAAAGCAGGGCATATCTTAAATTTTTTAAACATGTTCCAAAAAGCCTTATAACAATAGAAAGATTCTAAGCAGTGCAATCACCAAACATCTTGATACAGGGTATCAGCTCTACACCTTTCAATCTTTCAAAGTGATTAGTAAGCAGACAAACTCCAGTCTTCTTACATTTGCGAAATCCGTTGCTATCAGGAGTCAAAAGCAGATGGTTATTAATCTTTCCTTGGTTTGGTGACAAATGTTTCTTCGTTGCATCTTAAACTTTTTTAAAAAGCTCTTTCTTGCATTTGTTAATATCATTGAGTTTTGTTTCAACTATCTTCGGAATTAGTATTCTTATATTATCAGCTGAGCTCTTCTCATTTTATTCCTTTCAGCGTTTACTCATTATGTAATCACTTGTTTCTGGCACTTTGAACTGATGTCATAATCAGTGTTGTAGAATGTATTTTTACATAAGTTATATATTTACAACATTCAGCCTATTAAATTTATTTACACCCTTGCTATACTATAACTAATGTGTCTTCAATATAACTTCCAACCAAACCCTTTCATGTAAGTGATTTAAACCTATTATGTAATTATGATTTTTAAATATCACAGATTGTAAACATCTGACGAGAACCAACGAAATAAAATGAATTCATACTATTCTGCTAGAATCTTTATTCCTGCTCTTTTCAAAATGATAAAGGGAACTATTCGTTTATGAATGGGACTTCAAATAGTTGTCATGCAAAAAGTATTTCACAAAACTTACAATATCTAATGAAAGAGAACATTCCATAAATCTACTTTGATCAGCATTCTTCCTTATTTGGATAGGTGAACCCCATTCAGGCATCTTTTTATTATCTGATGTTGAAAAGTCTTTAGAAGTTATCAGCTCCTGTAAATAAAAAAATGTTATTTTAAATTAGATTTGTTAAATTCTTCAAACATTATTTTGATAATTTCGACTACAGAACTTAATGCTCTAGTCAGTATATAATGGTCGATAATTCCAAATAAGCCGGAAGCTAATAGAATCATTTAAAAACTTTTTATTTGAAACATCTATTCATCATAGTAAGTGGTGACAGTTGTTCTAAGATTCAAATTCACCATCAATCGCTTGAGAAATAGATCTCTATTCATCAACGGATTGAGTTGTGATGCCTGCTTGTAATTAAGTCTGGATTATTTTAAAACAGATTGAATTTGGAGCATTGGAATAAATCTTATTGTTGAATCGTAAACAGAAGGAAACACAAGTATTTAATTACAGCGATACATGCTATTGAATACATTTCATGATTTTTTAGTTTTAGCGAATACTTAACCATTCAATCCTGATTTAAAGAACTTAAAATTAAATGATTCTGAGTCATTGCAGCTAAAGTCATCAACCACTGATCACAGTTATCATGAGGTTCCTGACCAATTATGCTTCATCTGGTGACAATCACTTAGAGCAATAGTTAATGATTTGTTGGAGTGATGCCATGTCTCGGTTTGGCAGTCTCTAATTTTCTTCCAGACCACTTCTGCACCAGAAAACTCCATGCCTTGAGGTAGTCAGTGTCTAGTCATCCGTGACACTTGTTCTGATCACCTCAATCAAAAAACTTCAGTCCATAAATATCTTCTACTTTTAGTGATTATGTCTCACATTGATGGAACAATACAAATATGATTACTAATGGGCGATATATTCGTCCGTTGGTTGGTAGAAAGACAGCCTACAGTAATTTATTAAACTGATTCCTTAGCTTGATTATAACTTAAACAGAATGTTTTGGACTAAACTAATAAAAAACATATGTATAAAATATGACCAATAAAATACCTCTCTTCTTTGGACGCCCGCATAATAAAATCTGTCACGTATGGATTATAATTCATTTAGCTGTTTAGTGACAAATTATTTGTTACTTGCAGACAACTTTGAGAATTCAACATTCAAAATTGATTTGGATAATTCAAATACATAAAGTCCTCGTAAGTGGAAATTCTATGAATCTGGGAAAAGTACTAATTTTAACCCGAGAGATACTAATTGGAAATGGATATACTACTTATCAGTAGTCAAACTCTTTGTCACAGCAAACTAACTTTTACCAAATCGTAGCGAAGCATCATTACATTATTGGTAAATGGAGTTCAATAGTTGAAATCATGAGTCATTTGAAGCCAGATAACCATGGAAAACATGGAAGCACTGGACGGCCGTTTCGTCTTATTGTGCGACTTCTCAGCAGCGTATATCCACGGTCCCGCCCCCCTCGCGAGATTAAAATCCAGGTCCTATCAGTCTCGCGCGTGAGAGCTTAACCATTAGACCACTGAGCTGATATTTCACAACAGACCTGGTTGAACTCCATTGGTCACGGCTTCTCACTAAAACTCCAGGAAATGCCCCCTCGCTGGGGGCGGGGTCGTCGATGCTCACTGCTGAGGAGTCCCATACTAAGACGAAACAGCCGTCCAGTGCTTACAGGTTTTCCATGATGGTCTATCTTCAATTGACTCATGAGTTCAACTATTGAAATTATTAAAATCTCCACAAAACCCCTTCTGAAAATAGAGTTCAGTTGATATAGTTTATTTACATATATTTTAGATATGACTACGTAGTGATTAGAATATTACAAGAGTACAACGAACTATTAATCTAACTGCGAATCTAAAATAAGCAGCGTGGTTGCTTTCCAGAAGTAATTAATGTCCAAGTACACCATTAGATGCCAGCTCAAGGGTCTAGAATCCAAATCGCGAAATCATAAATTCTAAATCCAACTCTTTGATCCAGACTGATAAGTAGCTAAACACCAGGGCGAAACGACAGAAAAGTTCTGCTTAGTTTTCAATAGTGGTTTAACCTAAGCCAGTTCGTGACTTAATAAATGAAAATATAAATTAGTGTATAACCAACAGTAATAAACATAGAATTCATAATGGATTCTTCTTCGCTGAATATTTGACTAAAAACCAACTGAGTTACTCACAGCAAATTACAAATTTGTATCGTTAACTCTTTATATAACTAAAGACATACCATTCGTTTTTTATTTTTCTCTTCAGCTCTTCTTAACGCAGCCTCAAATTTAGTTTTTGGTTCTGCTCCTTTTATAATATCTTCATCTCCACTATCATCCCATTCACTTAAGTATTTAAACGTTTTCTCTTCAACATTCTGTACTTCAGAGGAAATACGTTGACATGACTGAATATGATTTACAGATGAACAACTGTTTTGACAAAATAAAAAATCTGATTCAATCGAATCAAGTCCACTCTGCAAAAATTGAATATTAAAGAAAAAAGAAATCAAATTGAAGATGATCAGTCAATCATCATTTATTTGTTATTATACTCGCATCACTTCTCCATTAGTTGTATAAATTAGCTCGAAAAACCATTCATATACTTAGGAATATATAAGAATTTATTTTCAGACTAATGACATTTTAACCAATAATACAGTCCGGGTGATTGCTAGATGTTAAAATTAGAATTATTTGTGAAAGAAACATATCGTTGTAGTAAATGAGAAGTCTTCATCATCTAATGTAAAATCAGGAAGAAGCGCTGGAAGTGGATTGAACACACATTGAGGAAAGCACACAACTGCATCATAAGGCAAGCCCTCACATGAAATCCTCAAGGCCAAAAGAGAAGAGGAAGATCAAAGAACACATTACACCGAGAAACGGAAACAGACATGATAAAAATGAACAAAAATTGGATAGAACTGGAAAGGAAGGCCCAGGACAGAGTGGGTTGGAGAATGTTGGTCTGCGGCCCACGCTCCATTGAGAGTAACATGCGTAAGTAATGTGTAACTATACTGCCACAGTATATAACAGTTAGAAATTAAAGGAAAATTAGCGAATACAGGGAAATTGAAACATCCATATTCTTTCGTCTGATAGGCTTGTTAGTAAGTCTTATCTGATAGAAAACTAAATTTATCGTCCATAGTTTATAGTTAAATTCTGAATACCAGGAAAATTAATCTGATATTCCAATGTGATATTTTCAAGTGCTGTAGTAAAGGATGAACATCTGAAAGAAGTGCAAAAATTCCACCATATGCAAGTCATTTGCATGTTGAAAATGTAATAAACATGAAGATTTTAGTACGCAGAGGTAGAAAATGCTTTTTTAGTGACAAAGAACACTTTTTTAAGACAACATCCAAATATATCAACAGTGACCTATTATGGTGTCTAACAATAAAAATGTGAAATTCTCGACGCATCGGATTCCAAAACTATAAATAATTTCGTCAAAACAATAATAGCAAAAGTAAAACTATTTGGAATGAACAGACTATCCTAAAAAAATAAAGGTTTAAGTATGAATGATGTTATAAACTGAAATCAAGTGGCCTGAACATTTCGGCGTAACTACACTCATTAGGAGTAACAGGCGTAAGTAAGTAAGTACACTCAGTAGTAACTTCTCATAATTGTATGTCAATTATGGTTCTCAGATACTCAAACTTTTATCGACGAAAAAGTTGAAATATTAGTATTAAAAGTGATGCAAGATTTCAGAATTCAACTTAGCTTCACAGATATATTGTTTGGCGCACTAGTCAAATTTACCTTAGTATTGAGTACTCGGTTTATGGTAACTTCATTTATAAAAACATTAGTCAACTTAAAATATTACTCAATCAAACCATGTGACTTAGGGTTCTTGTAATATTTGCGTAGTCTTTCGAAAATCATATAAAGATGAGTCGTCTAATTTACACCATTAACTTTACGCCCAAACTAAAATTTCTACCAATAATTTAATATTTATGCATAGATTACGAACATTAAAATTTTAGGATTTTCACCTGTGAACGAAATATCGGTCTACAACTCACCGATTCTCAGCTATAGTAAAACCAACTATTTTAAACAATTTATTTATGAAGAAATTCCTATTACAAATGGTCTAAGTACAGCAGATGGTCCGAATAGGAGAAATGATTGACCGAAAACCTTCTTTCCTTGTTAAGTATATATATTAGGACTAAACATTTATGACAACAACAATATGCTATTGTTAAAATTTAACGATAACATAACAGCTCAAAGCAGCAAAAGTGATATTTGTCTTCATTAGTTTATATTATTTGGTTGTTTTTTGTAATAACCACGGGAGAAATGATCACAATGGAACTCGGTATGCCCAGTCGACCAAAGACACAATAAAATATTATAGTGACAAAATAACATCAAAACATAAAGTTTGCGTTAATATAAATTTAGTATGATAATAAAATGAAGAGTTCTAATATGTCAGTGGTAATATGTATTTATTATTCAAATCCCATAGATGCGTCACCCAATTTGTTTCAAAAATTGAGATTACATAATATTAAATGACCCACTTATTCGGCCTGTGATTACCATTTTTAACTTCAATTTCAACATAGTACTACTCTATTGTAATTGAATTTTAATTATAGGACTGTAATAAACTCTAAATTAATTCATATGATTTATATATTTCTACATTTTGCTATTATAAACATACATATATATATCAAAGTAAACATGATGCCGAGTAATTACACTTCTAACACTAGAATTCAGATCAATGTAAACTAGTTTCATCTAGGTAATAGTAACGAGAACAATACAGACTTTTCTCACAGACATTCAATTTATTTAGACTAATTGTCTAACTTGAAAAATCTGTAGGCAAAAAACACAAACATATACCTGATAACTACACTTTCATACATAGTAGACATAAAGCGAAATAGTGTGTATATAAATTCGTACATAATGTTTATACACAAAAACAAATAGCTAATAAATAAAAACATTCCTTGAACAAGTGTTGTTCACAAAATGTATATACAGCGACACTATACTCTACTAATTGGACAGTTAAAAACAGTTTCATTTAACACATAGAAGTTGTCGGAAAAATAGCTGTTTGTAAGAAAATTGACGTTTTATTCTTATCTTATGACCATCGGTTAAAAGGTATTGTACGATTACACCATGTATAATTTCGTTTGTAGACTCCAATAACACTTTTTCTTCTAATACATGCTGAAAATCGCATAACGTATAATATATTGATAACGGGGGGGATTTAATTTATTTAATTAAATCACGTATCATGTTTGAAAATTAACCGTATAACAACTTGATCGATAGAATTCAATAAGTACGAAAGGGATAGATAAACATGATATTGATCATCACTTAGTGATCAATCAACGGTAAACTAGGTAACATCTAGTACAGTCTAACTAACTGTGAGTTGCCTAACCATTCAATTTTAACAGGAATTAAGGAATAATTATACATATATTCATTGTATTTATTTAATTATCAGATGGAAGTTGTACTACTAGCGAAACATTCGTATCCGAGATTCATTTTTTAGTAATGTTTAATATAAGCTGTTCCATCTGCTTTAAGATGAATAGAAACACTTTTTGAAAAAAATACTAAAATATATCAACGAATTATTGAAACCATTGCAATTAAAATACAGAAAACATTTTATTTGTTTTAGTGAATTAAGTAATATTGTCAATTTCAGACTCAGGTACATCCAAATTGTCATTAATACAACATTACTTCTACAAAAACTTTGTAGTTTAAATAGACCTTTTTAAATATCTTCTAAACTGAGACAATGAATAACCTGATTTATTTGTTATTCAGAACATTGCATGCCCTATAAATCATGAAGTTAAAAGTCAAAGTTTCACCTCATTAATAAACAATAACGTGAATTTTAACAGATTTTCCGAGTGTGAAATATCTACAATATACTTATGTTATTATACTCATGATAAATAGTCACACTAATTAGACAAGATTGTACGGCTGTACACCCATAAAAAAAATTAATAAAATATCTAATCTACTTCATTTCCCTTTCCAGTTTTGGTTTTTTTGTACTCATAGTTTCTTGAATCAAAAACGCATTGTTAATAGTACATGTGCTAATGACAAACTGATTAGTAGAAGCTTTAATAAACAATACATCTTCATTTTTAATAAACAAAGCCCTTAATATAACTACTGGTGTTACATACTACTTATACCTGCAAACATAATTAGCATACACCATAACATAACATCCTCAGACTGTTTTATTTTAGATAGTCAACTTTACCACTCAAAGCTTTCTGAAATAAAGTCAATCAATTCTTTTCCATTCGATATCAGTTTATATGAGAAATTAATTTTGAAACATAATACCATTTGAACACTAAGAAAAAAAGATAATCCGTTCGTCAATTGTAGTCGGCTGTAAGTTGTATAAAACGGTCTAACATGCTAAACCACATCAAGTATAGTGAGACGAAATCATCAGGCTAATTATGCATCTCGTAAGCTTCTGAAAATCTCCACACATATATATTCAGTGTATTAGTTGGGTTATAGTCACATATATATTATCTAATGAGAATACTGACAATATTGTTGAAGGGAGATTAGATATTTAAAGTAACAAGAAAGTTTATCACATAAATGGGATACCTGATAACATTTATAATCATATTTCATAATGTTTTTATCGTCAAGAAATTGGTTTGTTAGGAATGAATCCTTCCTTAACAACCGATTAGATTAATAGTTTAGAGAAATTTTTATATCCGTTAAATGCATATCCAATGAATTTCTGATAATTCACTGTTATTTAAATAATATGTCCTCTGGTTTCACAAAAAGTGGGACAAATTGATAAAGTATTTGATCATTTGAATAAATTCCATGATAAATTTTATTTCTGATATCAAAAGTACAAATGGAAACAAAAAGGAAAAAGTGATGTGAAGCGACTTTCTTTTTCAAGGGTGTTTTTCTAGATGAAACATTTATGGATCAAACTATGTAAAGATGAAGACAATGGTTTCCTGCTTACTGAATCAGATTCATTCTTCAATACATAAATAATATTTCATAAATAAATTAACAAGTTAATATTAAACTGATGATAGTTTTTTTAAAAAGTAAGATCAGTTACTTTGGTAAGACTATAATTTATGGATGAACCAATCACATTTAAGATAGCAGATCTTGGATTTCGGAACGAGATCCATTCAATCATTTGTTTAAATACTATTTTGGCATTATAAGCGATGTCAGTTCGTGATGAAAAAATTAAATCTAATTCCTAACCCTAACATTCAACTGTAAATTGCAATCTTAACTCCTTCATACTAATCTATAACCCTCATTTAATCCTGATAAGTAGGTGAACATTTCAAGATCATTTTAATATTGCTTGAAGGTCGACCATAATTTATAGTCTTACCGTTATTTCCTGTGATTTCTTTTAATGATTATTTAAAGAAAACAAATAAATAATTTTTTCTTGATTTAATTCTTTTTTGCTAAATTTACAGTTCCAAAGGAAGACATCTGGGTTTGGGGGAAAATTCAAGAAATGACACTAAAATGATTTTATCCTATGTACTTGACAAATTTATGTTGGACTAATTTGGTATAGAAAATTAGATTGGAGTTATATTTCATATGAATATTACAAAAAAATTAATATCTAACAGAAATCATGTTTATTCCCTATATATATTCAAAATGGTATATAAAAATGTAAAATGATGAATTGAACAATTCAACAGACAAGTAAATCAGTAGACAGAATTCAGATACATTGTAAGCAAAATTTAACAAATAGTTAAATAATGTTGATATAAAATTTATTGTATAAACGATAAAAGCTGATTACCATTCGTCAGTCTTGATTCAACCTTGACAAGAGATTTATATCATGACTTTTCTATTCTTAAATCTAAGTAACAGTATATAACAGTAATTGTTAAGTGGTTTTTTTCCTAATTTTTTATCATAAATATATTCTCCCTTTGATAAGTTTTTTTTTAGAATTGAATCATTCCAATATATACTTTATAAGATGTACTAAGCTGATATAAAATATTCAACGTGGAAGGAAAATGTAATGAACTCATGTCATTCAAAATAACTGAACATGACTGTTAATTTTGCTTTATGTCATGATGTTACTTTAGAAAAACAACAACTAGGTCTTATGGTGTTATCATGAAAGAAATCAAATAAAGTTCATCGAGTAAATATATATAAAATAATTTACCAGTGAATCATTTGGTATACATAGATGATTATTATCTTCTAACGACGACTGACGTATATTAGTAGCTGCTTTATTTTGAGAGTTTGTTGTAAATTGTATATCTTCACAGTAAGTATTGAGAATTGAATCTGAATAATGATCTCTTGTATACTGTTCATATGAATTTTTGTTGATGTAATCATTTGGTTTTACATGGAAACTTCGAGTTCTAACTAGTGATGAATGATTAGTCGCATCTGGTAGTGGTCGATGTTTCAATTTGTTGCATTTTATTCTAGCGTTTTGATGACAAGTTGTCTAAATTAAGGAACAAATGGAAGTCAGCAAAAAAATACATTAGAAAATCCAATTCATATAGGTGATTCGGTCGACTAGTTTTTAGTCAGCAATGTAAAAATGATATGAATTTAACAATAATAGATGTATTGTACTTGATCACTAAGGTATATATTATATCATAGTGCATAAGTTACCTTAAGATTATAAAAGACAGACGAAGTTATTAGAAAGCTCATGAACTCAGACTTTTAAAAGCCAGTTAAAAGATTTGGATTTCAAACAATTAAAATTACATTTGTATTTATGGAGAACTTTTGGCTGAGAAATACTTTGTCACTAATGCACCAAATTGTAAACAATATCTTGTCGCCAAGGCTAGTGATATGTATAATCTATCAAAATCATTTCGGAACGTTCAGTCACTAAATTGAAATGTTTACTAGGAGAATAACAAACGTTAGTTTAATACAAAAGAAATCAGAGTACTTTATTTAGTATAAAAAATTATCTTTGATATTATATAATGACACAGACGTTTACTTGATATTCATAAATTTCATAAGGTGAATACTACTTACCCAATTCAATCCAAAAACATCATATTCACTTGTAACAAGTGAATCACAATCCTCCCAGTATCCACTACTAGCGTTACTACTTGTAATCAGTTGATCTATTGAATTATGATCTTTTCCAAATGTACTATTTTTAAGTTTATTCTTTTCAGTTGATCTACTTTTGGTTGGTGATAATGAATTGAATAATTCTATACTGTCTGAATCAATCATATGAAATTTCAAGTTTTTATCCATAAAGAAACAAATGTTGTTATTTTGCTAAAATCAAGAAAAAACAAATGGAAATGTTAACTGAAGTGGTTAGTAAATAAACTGTCAATGTATGAATTAAGTTCTGAAAAATAGAATTGAAAAGATACATTTGAGTATCGAAATCAAAGGATTAACAAATGATGAGAGGAATCACTGAGCATGATATATAACTTGGCGGATTCCTTGAGTATTAAAGAGTTTTCATTGAAAAGTTGTATTATCCAATACTATGTTAGGCATTGAATATCATTTGAAAAACTGATTAGACTTGCCTAAGAATTTTTCAGCAACTGTGTTGAACCGACTATTCAATAATTTATTAGATTAGAAATTAATATGATGTTACTATTATTTAGAATAAAGTTGAACTATTTTGCTGTGATGAAGACACCATTTTATTTATTTCAGCACATAAACATTGGCATGAGGGGGCATAAAATATATGTGCACCACACAAATCATTCGATATGTGTGAGATCTAGGATACTGCCCGGGTGCCTAAATCGAAGCAGGTGGTTTTCTTAGTGGGTTACTCCCCGATCCAAGCCTTCGACCTAGAGGTTTAATCCACAAGATAGTAGGGCGACGTTATAGATGCAGTCCCATAGTGGCTGGTGACCAACAATAGGTTCATACACAATTTGTTACCTCAAAATCCTATAGCTTTGTGATCTGCGCTATCCGCTAATGAACTGTAATTGACGCTTCTCATTGCCTTTTGATTATAAACGCCGTTGAAATTTATACAATAACGGTTATCAAAGTGATTGATTAACGAAGCAAAGCCACTACAAAGCTAAGGAATTTAGGAAAAGACAAATATTCATATAATCTAAATCTTTTCTGTATAGTAGAAGGATCATATTCTGTGAAACTGTTTATTCAGCTTACAGAATAATGGATACAAATCAAGGAGAAGTTATGAAGTAGGTGAAGCTATTCGAAAACATACTAACAACTGAAACGTTTTTCACAACATGAAATGATTAACAACATGATAAGTATTAAAAAAACATATCCATTTCAAATACTACGCTCTTAAATTGATCATCATTACAAATTGACTCAAGTTAGAATTATTGAATATTGTATCTTGTCTAGCTGATCTAAACGTATCATGCTCACAACAAAAACTCAAAGTCATATGCTTGATGCCATCCGAGATCATAAGTGGATTCCGCTGAAGAACCGGAAATTAGAATAAAACCACAATTCAGTGCCACCTAGTTTTCAATTGTTTGTTCTAACTGATATTTGTTGGTAAACAGCATTCATTAAAAAAACTACAGAATAAATACCCAAAGATGTTGTAATCGTATGACTAAGGTACTGAGTACAATATATTCTCATCAAACCAAGCCGAATTCTATAATGAATTAAACATTAATCCAATATTTTTTCACTTATAAGAAAAACAGTCAGCCATTATTTTGATTTTTAAAATAATCCTGTTGTGACTTTAAGCCCGGCTTTTTTATCACGTGATTTATACGCCCATCGAAAAACGACATATTCACTCTTATACTGTGCTAAACCAATGACGTTCGAGCGGTAAGAGCAGCCGAGCGTCTTTATTGGTCGATTGCTCCCCTAGCTCGTCCAGTTAAGTCTAGAACACCAATAACAGATTCCACTATGTGGATCCTTTATTTCAAACATACTTGGTTTATATATCAGCCAGACAGACCGCATCACACCATAAAATAGTAAATAATACTTGTACAAAATATAAGCAAAGGTGGCTATGAACGTGGGAGATAGTGATTAAAAAACTGAGTATAACATAAGAACAGTGAATCTTGATCTATAGATCAAGATGAAGCTTATAATAAGGGAGAATATAGATATACATAATCTAATCGCTAAACAATTATACCATAAAAATATACAAATAATATTAGTCCATTCATAGGTCTCAGAAGTTACTCGTAATTTAATCTTCACTAGAATATAATACTATAGGTCAAAATGAAGCTTATAATAAGGTGAATATAGATAAACACAATCTAGTCACTGAATAATTATACAATAGGAATATATATAGTCTACGCAAAATACTACGGATCCGTTCGCCGGACACTATCAGCAACAACGTACTGTGGGAGAGATTAAATCAGATCTCAGCGGAGGAAGAAATCAGGAAGAAGCTCTGGAAGTGGATAGGACACACATTGAGTAAAGCACCCAACTGAGTCACAAGACAAGCCCTCACATGGAATCCTCAAGGCCAAAGGAGAAGAGGAAGGCCAAAGAACACATTACGCCAGGAAATGGAGATAGACATGAGAAAAGTGAACAAGAATTGGATGGAACTAGAAAAGAAGGACCAGGACAGCGTGGGTTGGAGAATGCTGGTCGGCGGCCTATGTTCCATTGAGAGTAATAGGCGTAAGTAAGTAACATATATATATATATATATATATATATATATATATATATATATATATATACTAGTAATGTAACCTTCACTAGGATATAACAAATTCCAGATACATTTTCTTTTCTTTTTTGTAATAAACTTTTCGTTTATTTACCAAAATAGATTTATTGGGTTCATTTTTTTTAAAATTTTTCTTTTTATTTAATGTCTAATGTGTTTTTTAACTTAGAATTAATAAATGTCATAACAATTTTACAATCAGTACCACAATTTTAACAATCATCCTGTCGGCTTATCCATTCTTATTTGTTTTCATATAGAAACAACTATAATTTGGACATTATATTATACTATATTCATTTCAATTTTATTAGTCAGTGTTTATACTGTAAAACATAATTCATAAATGAATCAGTTATTTATTACATAATACATAAAATAATGTCAGTCTTTAAAAAGAAATTCTAATGAAAATAAGTTTTGTACAGATCGGTAATGCGCAACGTTTTTTTTTCTTTTTTACCTAAAATATTTACCGAAGTTAGTTAATCTAATTATTGGAAAGTTAATAAAACTATTTATTTATTTTCAGAAGGGGTTTTGTGAAGATTTTAGAAATTTCACTAGTTAAATTTATGAACCAATAGAAGCTAGATCAACATGGAAAACATGAAATCACTACTGGATGGCCGTTTTGTCCTACTATGGGACTCCTCAGCAGTGTGCATCCACGATCCCGCCCCCCCCGCGAAATTCGAACCCAGGATCTGTCAGTCTCACGTGTGAGCACTTAACCATTAGACCATTGAGCCGGCCAGCATCCAACAGTGTTAATGTCTATTATTTATTTTTTTATTGAAAAAAAAGTTTCATCATTATAATCAACAGATTACTTTAGTAAATAATACATTATTCGATGGATAAATAAAGATAATGGGAAGAAAAAATTTAATTAAGATAATCTATTTTTATCAGTAAGAAGAAGAAATTAAGTTTGAAACTGAAAAGAACTAGTTTATGACTTATTTCTATGATTTATTGTATTGTAAAGATTGATAAATTTGAAGTTTTTACATCGTATACAATAATTTTGATAAATAGACATTATGTATTAGTATAAACTGTCAGTCCGTAATCTGATAGTCTGAATGTACTCACCACGTTAGTAAACCTCAAGGTTACAATTTTGATCCCTGAAGGATTAATAAAATGAGCTTCGGTGAGGAGTCCCAAATTAGGATAAAACAATACCATAAGTTTCATTGATTTTCTAACTAAAATGATTATCAGTATGAGGTTTTAGAGATTGTTTACATTTATTATGACCAAAAACCGATCTGTTAAACAATCACTGAAAACCTGGAAGAGCTTGTTTGTCATTTTGTTTGAGTGTGGGGCTCTTCAGAAGTGCAATTACAAGAAATCAATAGCCAGTAGTGGAGTAATGGGTGCGCACTGCTGATAACTCTTACACTAAGATGAAATGAAGTCCAGTACTCCCAGGTTCCCATTCGTTATCTAACGGAGATCAATTCGTGGTCTCAATAAAACCTTCATAATGAAACATTCATATCTACAATAAACAATTTCCATAAACCTATAAGAAATGGAATTAGATTGGCTAAAAAGTACGTAGATTAAATTCATTTTACAACTGATCTGGTTTCAAACATCGATAAAATTTGTCAAGAAGATAATAAAACTAATTATTAAATAATTCAAGAGTAATATATTCACATTATTCATATATATATATGATACAGGCTGAATAGGAATGTGCATACAACTCAATTATACATAATAAGTTTCACCTTCTTATATTTATCTTTATGCAATAATACGCATGCGCAAATACTATTCATATATTGAATAACTACTCCATTAAAATCTAAACTTGAGAAAATAACACGTTTAGCAGTAATTTGCAGAAGTGCAAAATATAGTCTTTGTCCGGAATTGAGTGACAGTAACAGGTAGAAATCACCATAAGTGACCTAGATATATAATATTGCTCAAACATTTATTGTGTAATCTTCATGATATATATGTATATATAAGAGCTATTCAAGTGTAATCTTATAATAAGCACATTCATCGTAATCTTGAAATATGTTCTACATTTATACAAATTGCATTATTTCAGACAGTTATCGTTATAAAACTCATCAGGGAAAATATTTCAACTAATGTTTTATTTTCAGAAAAGTATACTTGAATATAACGAAATGAAAAGAGCTATTTAATGAGGTATTGATCAGTTAACATACTCTCGAGAAGTTATCTTTTCTTCTACCCATCTTCATTCTATTTCAATTATAATTGAACTAAATAATGAGAACTTCGTCAATTTTTTTAATTCTAGAATAACAGTATGAATGTTATTCATCTATTAAATAACAGATTAAACGTGATTATGTAATGAAATCAAATGCTAATGCTAAAAGGTGGAATTAGTCGACAAGAAACCCTGGATCTAAATTTCGTGCTATTTGACGCTCGTCAGGAGGACGAACCTGCAAGATTCGATCTCGCATCACCTGGCTTCACTGTGACAGGCGGTATCACTGAGCTATCTAGATCACGACTAACTTCCAGTAAGATTGAAATTTATTTACAACTAACTGAT